GGGAGAACATGCAAACTCTACGCAGAAAGATCCTGGTGCCCCCACCGGGACGCGAACCGGCAACCTTCTTGCTGCGAGGCAACAGTGCTACCAGTGGAACCCTCCCCAGAAAAAAAAATTATCAGTGTCCCCTGTGTTTCCTTGATAACTGTGTCTCTGGGCACCTCAGGCTCAGGCTGAGCAGCGACCCATAAACAGAGGTTATAGTCCCTGATGCAGCAGCCATGGGTCAAATATGGCCAATAGCCATTTACTGCAGGTCCATCCCCCACTCTTGTCCCCACTGTCCTGTCTTCCTCTCTCCACTTACCTATCCAATAAAGTTGAAAGGCCAAAAAAAAATTATATTACACCATCTGAACAGCCTGCCAACTTCTGTCCTACAGTCTTGACATCAAAAGTCTAACTTCTTCTTTTCTGAGGGGTCAGCTGTTTCAGCTCCATCAGGAAATTTCAGATGCATCATCTGCTTTTGCTGTCTGACTTTTCTCTCCAGCCTAAAGGAGAAATGAGTTGGAGCATATAGATCTCTAATAGTCGCAATCCGGGTTCCTATTAGTGCACCTGTCGCTTTTTTATAGAAAACGTTTCCTGACGCTTTCTTTCTGTTCTCCCAGGTCCTGTTGCTGCTATCTGTCCCACTAATTATTCTGTCTTCCAAAATAAATGATATTTCACTGACTGTTGCTTCTACTATTTGAAATCTGCCCTGTTCTACTTCACTTGGTTAAATTAAGCTGTTGTGGAAACAGCATTACTATATTTGCACTGAGATTAGTAACATGACTGAGGAATATCTGCCCTCTCCAGCTCATCCCCCACTGCACCTCACTGTCTGCTAAACTATGTGTGCCCTGTAAGGGAAAAAAAACATGTACAGTTGAAACCAGAAGTTTACATTCACTGTATGAAAACACATAAAACATTTGTTTTCTCACTATCTGACATTAAATGTGACTAAAATTTTCCTGTTTTAGGTCAGCAAGGATTACCGAAATTATTTCTATTTGCTAAATGCCAGAATAAAAAGAAAGATTTTTTGTAGAAATTTTTTTATTACTTTCTTCAAATTCAGAAGTTTGCGTACACTAAGATTACTATGACTTCAACTATTTGGGAAAGCCCAGGTGATGATATCATGGCTTTGGATGATTTTGGTAGGTCAATGGACAACATCTGAGTTAACTGGAGGCACACCCATGGATGTATTCTAATGCACACCTCAAACACACTGCTTCCTTTTGTGACAGCATGGAAAATCTAAAGAAATCAGCCAAGATATCAGGAAGAGAATTGTGGAGCTCCACAAGTCTGGTTCATCCTTGGGTACAGTTTCCAGATGCCTGAAGGTTCCACATTCATCTGTTCAAACAACTATTCGCAAGTATAAACACCATGGGAATGTCCAGCTATCATAATGCTCAGGAAGGAGACGGGTTCTGTGCCCCAGAGATGAAGTGTTTTGGTGAGAAATGTGCGTATCAACCCCAGAACAAAAGCAGAAGACCTTGTGAGATGCTGCTGAAGCTGGTAAGAGAGAGTCATTATCCACAGTGAAACCAGTCCTGTATTGACTAAACTGTAGGGGATCTCGGAACAGCAGTGGGCCCCAGAGGCAAGGCGCACAGGCCTACCGGTGTGTGGACACACCCTGGTGTCTGCCAACCACTGTCCCAGTTATGGGCAAATAGCATGGGCAGGATAGACCGAGAATAGATGGAGGCGGCGTCTCAGCGGACACCATCCTCCCAAGAAACCCAAACAAGACACCCAATCAATTGGTTGACAATAATTGAACAAAAACTGTTAAACTAACTCACCTCATCATGTAGATATACAGATTGAAAACAGAAGAAAGTCAGTGAAAAGGGACAGAAAACTATTCAAGTCTCCTGCATCTCGCACATCCACCACCGTTACTCACACCCACACTCACCCAAACCAGAAACAAGAGGAGGAAACAGCAAGGGGGGGGCAAAGGGAATGGGAGGGGGAAATGATTTCTTTGGGAACATAAAATATATACTGTGTGGGTCAATGTGTTTTCTACCATGGGGGTGGACGAATGACATGTACCCAAACATCTTCAATTTGGTGGTATATTGATTGAGTTGACTAAAATCTGGAGTCATATGTTCCAGCAGTTTTTGAGTTAAAAATTCTCAAAGAAGGGTGGGGTTATGTCGATTTTTACGCCGTTTTAGCAAACCTGCGGAGCAATGTTTTAAGTGCTATAACTTGAGAAACAATGTAGCTGGAGTGTGTGTGTGTGTGTGTGGGTGTGTGTGACTGCATCTGCCATATGTGTATGTGTATGCATGTAGGGTGGGAGGGACGGTTTTCTTTTCTAATATTTTTAAATGTAATGTTTCTAAATGCTGTAAAGCACATTGTGTTACTGTAATGCATGAAAAGTTCTATACATATAAAATTTGATTTGATTTACAGTTAAAAAGCTTTTAAAAATACACCTTGTACAGAAAGACATTTGTATAACTTTTGATCTTTATTCTACACTTACCGTCTTTAATAATGTTTTATTGTCATCTGTTAATACTTGATTGTTACATTCAATTATTCTTTCAATACGTGACAGAAATGAGGTTTAACGCAAAAGCTGTATTTTTCTTTTCTTTTTTAATATTTAATTGGAATCAAGGAGTATTTTATTGACAGAAACAAACTGTGGGACACAAACCCTTCACAGCTGACACTGTCTTAGTGACCATAGGGGGAATGAAACCACATGTTTACAATAATAAAACCGGGACAATAGAATAATTCAATTCAATATAATGCATATATTGCATAAATTCAGCTCAATCAAAACACATCACTTTAATTCAATTCAAATCATGAAGTAACTGCAACTAAAATACTCCATCTACTACATGGATCTCTACATTGTACATCTATTATAGTCAAAAGAAAACTTGACTTGAGTAACTTTTTACAAAAGCAAACTTCATCTACAGTTAAAATGCAGTAAAACATGAGTCAAATATTAAAGTCATGTAACGGCACCAAAGAACTCATCATCTTCCACAGAGTAACAGTTCTCCATGTCTTCGTCGTCACCGTCGGACATCCTGTCAATAAGTCACTGGTAATGAACACACGATCCACCGGAAGGAAGCGTGTGGCTGCTGTCTCTATGTTTGGCCCCGGTGGCTTGCCGTAGTGCTAGGCCCCGCCCTGCGCATAAAAGGCGGCTGCGCAACCTCCGTCGCTCTTCTCCCGCGTCAATCGGAGCATCTGTTGTGTGACACATCACCGGAGCACCACTGTTAAGGTAATGTGAGCCCGGTTTTCTCCGATATTATAAAAAAGTAAGTTCCAGCTGAACTTCCTCTGCTGCAAAGCCGCAGATTTGGAAGTCAGTGTTTGGTTCTGTCGTGTAGGAGTCGGTTTTATCAAAATTGCGATGCAGCCCGGTGTCGCCACGGTTCAACTTGTGGATGTCACCAAAATCCGTCCGTTCTGTGTGAACTGGGCTCCGGGACCTGCTTTGGGTGTGGTCCGGCCGTGCTACGGGGTTCCCAGGCCGCTCGGCTGTCATGCTGCCATGGAGCCGACTCACCGCCGCGGCACAGACAAAGACACCATGTGGCCGGGTGGAGGCCTGGAGCCGCGGGCCGGGCCTCGGTACTCCAGCCGCTCGGTGCTGACGGTGAAGGCTTGTGTACGTGTGAAAGCCATTTCTAGTGGTGCCGGTGGGACCCGGTGGGTGCCGGTGGAGCCGGTGGTGACGGGGCGTAGAGCGCGTGTCGGCAGGGAACAGACTGTGCCAAAGTCCGTGAAGGCGTCATCAGGCTGCTGCTGCTGCTCTGAACTTTCCACGTCAGACATTTTGATTCGGCACACGGGACCTTGAAACGTTGTTCATGGCTGAAATGAGCTCTGACAGCAGCAGAATCTGTCAGTCGGTTCTGAGTGCCCCTGCTCACCCTGACGGCCTCCCGCTCCGTCAAGACACAAAAAGTCATTATCTTCCGAAAGGTGGCTGTTGTTCGGGTTTATTTGTCTGCAGCCGCCGAAAGTTCACAGGAGACTTCTAGCGATCGTGTCTTTATGAAACTCAGACGTGTTCTGCAGCAACATAACTTCCACAAATGACACCAAGTCATTGTGATGCATTTACGTGTCAGCCACGGTGCAGGGCTGCGTCACTTCCTGACAGGTGGAAAATTGCAATTTGCTTGCAGTTGTTTGTTTTTAAAAGCTACTCCTGTCCTTAGCAGGTTGAATCTGTTCTGACAGTCACAAGTGTTGCTCATCCCTGCATGGTTCAGACGTGGCTTTTAAATTTGGATACCTGCTGTAAATGAAGGAGTGAGCAGGAACCGGCCCTCAGCAGAATTATGTGGTTCTGGTTTTGCAGACGTGCTCATTTGAGTGTCTGTATGAAGTTGCAGTTTTAAAAAAATCAAGTCAGTTCTCAAAGAGCTTGATTACTGAAGTAGATGTTCTGTTGGCCTGCAGAATTAATGCGGTTATTAATGGTTTTTTCCTTTGGGAATAATCACTAACTCATGTGAGGTGATGCTGGTGGACATCAGAGATTGCATTTGGCTGTGAAGCAAGGTTGAAAACTTGGAAATTAGCCTAAACAGTAGAGTGATTGCACTTTCAGCAAATTTCACTTGTGTTGCTTTAATTGGAAGGTGGACTTTATTTGTCATGAAATCCCATAAGTCCTCAAGAGACTTGTAGGAAATGGAAAGATTTGTAAAGCATTACCTTAGATTTGCTTTGATTCAGGGATATGATATTAATTGTTGTAATGTTGTCAAGCTTCAAGCAGAGCAGTTAACCTGACATTAGAGTCTGCACTGTACTAACAGTGAGGATAAAGATGTGGCCGTGTGGGCGGGGCACTGGGCCAAAAAGCACACTAGTCCACGTCAGGGATCACACTGTCAGATGCTAATCCAGGCTGTGTGGTGTTCAAGTGGTTTCTGTGCAATGGGGTCGGTGCCCTCTGCAACTGGCCCCACCACTGACTGTGCCAAATGCAAGAAAGAGACGTGAGTGACTCTGCAGGCTTGTTCTTCCTGCAGCTCTCTTGTAGTTTGATTTTATACTCTTCTTCTTGCTGCTTTGTTTCAGAATCATGGCTGAGCTCAAGGAACGTACCTTCATTGCCATCAAGCCCGACGGTGTGCAGAGGGGCATCATTGGAGAGATCATCAAAAGGTTCGAGATGAAGGGCTTCAAACTTGTGGGCATGAAAATGATCCAGGTAAGTAAAGAATGAACACTACAATGCTGTAAACTACATGTACATTCAGGGAAGATGACTGTGTAGTGTGTGTGTGTGTGTGTGGGTACTTAAGACCGCTAGTGAGCTGATTAGGTCTATTCCTGACGTTAGCATAACCGATTAGCACTGAGAGTCGAGGTCTCCTGATCCTATGATCTGAGACTGAATGGGATGCTGCTTAAGTTTGTCATGAAGCATGGTTCGTTTATATACCTGCATTATGCAAGAACTTGTTTTGAAAAGAAAATCAGTCAGTGAATTTAAGAAATGTCCTGTTGTGGGTCAGTGAGGTGATGATTAGGCCATGCTGCTGAAATTGAAATCCTGGTTGTGTCTGTGTGGTTATTGACATGCCAGAGGTAAAATCCAAATGGGAGCAAATATAGTCTGAATCAGCAGTGCAGGATGCTGCACTAGGTCACTGGAAGGCTGCCAGTACTAACATTTCCACTTTGTATTTACGGTTGTCTTGCTGACATGTTCAAAAGCTAAATGGCCATGTCAAGGAGACAAAGGCCAAAATGTCAGTAAACAGAATCTTAAGTTTAACGTGTTTTCCTTGACTGGCCTGTACAGTGCTCACTGCAGTGAGCAGCAGTGGAATGACCTCTGGTCTGTCATGCAGTGTCACATTGCTCTAGACATCGGCTTACAAGAGTTCTAGTTATTCAACGTGTGGCTGGAGCCTTAACATCAGAGGGGGCTTCACTGACCATGTGACCTGGTGTATTGTAAGGTTGTTGCGTGACCTGTACATGGCAGCATGTAGTACTTAGGAGGTGGGTGCTTCCTCCTTATAAGCTTTTTGTTGCAACAGACTGAGGCTATGTAGCACGTCCAGGATGGGACTTGAGTGCTGTCAAGGACATGGGTGCAGGTATTATACATGGAGTGCTTGACTTATGGTCATGATGCAGCTGGACCAAGTGATGTTTCCTCTATAGATAAACATCAGGATAGCTGCTGATGTGGGATACTCATCACACATCAATTATCCCAAAAGTAAAATGTGTCGATCCCAGTGGCAGCGTGGTGCCAGGGTGGACAGCGCACTGTGATTAAAGGAGGTTAAGTGATGGTGAAAACAATGAGCTTCGACACTGGCAAAGAAATATTTGCCATGAGTCACACTTGGCTGTTGTCTTTGCTGAGATGACGTGACTGGTGGATCTCTAGGTAGTTGTCTGCCATGAAGACATCTCAGGTTCTCAGTTAACAGACATCTGTTCATTAATCTTCTGCATCAGTTTACTCAGATGTTTGATGTTTTTACTTTATCAAGCTGTGTTTCACCTGCAAGACTGCCCTTCCATGGTATTGTTTTTCAGCACAAGTGAATCAAAAGGCACAATCAGCATGTCTCTGATGAAAGACAGTTCAGATTCTCAGTTCTTTCATAACAATAATCTAAGACGAAGCGATTTGGTCTCTCTTGATGAAAGTCAAAATGTAACCTCATTTCTAAAATAATTGATTTTGATTTTATAGATGAGCTGAGCTTGTTAGTAATTAATCCCTTTCAAGAAACTGAATGTAGAAAACAAGAAAACCAGCCCTTTGAAATGAGTGAGGACAGAGGATGGATTCAGATATTCTAAGTCTGCATTTGTACAAAATGGTTCTATTTGAAATCCCGGAAATGTAAGCCACACATAACTGAAACCGTAACTTTCTAAATGTTAAAAAAAAAAAAAAAAAAACTACATTGGACCAATCACACTAGGGTGATGCTGGTATAAATTCAATCCTGATTACTGATTAATGAGCACACGACCAGAGCAGACTCTATAAAGGCATTCACTACCTGTCAGGACTGTGAAAGTGAAAGTCTCTTTGCTGCAATACAGGCTGAAGTTTGACTTCATTGCATGAAATATCAGGTCCAGCACCAAACTGTTGTTCCAAACAGTATGCAGATATAGTAAGCTGTAGAGAATCCACACAGGGAGACTGATGTGGTCTGACCTGGTGCAAAGACTACAAATTGGAATGTGTAAGAATACGCCGAAAATGATATTTATTTTCCCGCTGCAGGCTTCCGAGGACCTTCTGATGCAGCACTACATCGACTTGAAGGACAGACCATTCTTCCCTACCCTCATCAACTATATGAGTTCTGGTCCAGTGGTTGCCATGGTAAGAAAATTCAACAATTCAAGACTGTCTGTTGAACAAGAGGGGCCTGTAGACACAGCAGGACCTGAAGCCTGCTCTGCTGACACGCTGTGAAAACGGAGCAGCCAGTGTGTCAGCTGCTGTAGACATGGTTTCATTTTGAGTAGTGAAATGTTTCACTTCAACTGTCGCTCTGTGTATTCCAGGTGTGGGAAGGAAAAGGTGTGGTGAAGACGGGCAGGGTAATGCTGGGTGAGACCAACCCTGCAGAGTCCAAGCCCGGAACCATCAGAGGAGACTTCTGCATTGATGTTAGCAAGTAAGTGTTTACATGCTGCCATAGAAATGTTAATGGTCCCTGAAGACTAAATACAGCTGTTTGTGACTGTCGTTTGCCTTGTTATAAATGTGAAATTAGTTTGTTCTGAGTGGATTCTGATTGTTTTTGCCGCTGTCCTTTTTTCAGAAATATCATCCATGGCAGTGACTCAGTGGACAGTGCCAACAAAGAAATTTCCCTGTGGTTCAAAGACGACGAGCTGGCCAGCTACACTAGCTGTGCCTTCAGCTGGCTCTACTGAGCTGCTCCAGGTGCTGCCACAGCTCTCACACACTAGTTGGAGACTAGTGAAATACTTGCCTCAGATTTCTTGTTTTTGCCCGTAACTTAGAGGGGAGAAAAACTGATGTGATGCTGTTCTTGTCCCCACATCTTCACACACCCCCAGCCCACCACTCATCACCATACTGTACTTTGTCTCTGCGGAGGTCTGTTTCAAATCCAGATTCATTCCTTAGCTCCATTCCTTTAGAAACATTCCATCCAAATCCTTGAATGTACAGTTAATGACTTGAACCTTGTCTTTGACTGTCAGTTTTGTTAAAGATGTTCTGCTTTCCAATAAAATACACAATACCAACAGTCTTCTGTCATTGGTCAGAATACTAACATCACTAATGTACATATGATCCTGTGGTGATCTGCCTAACTCTAAGAAAGATTAGTTATGATGCACTAATGTGGTGGTCCATATCAACTACTAGGCCGGATTAAAGCGGGGGGCATAATCTCAGATTAAATGCTTTGACATCCAGCTGGCTAATGGGGCCTGTGTCTCACTTTAAGTACTTGCATGCATACATCAAAGATGGCTCTTAGGTAAAAATGCTTTTTTTTTTCTTTTTTTTTTTAAATAAAAAAATCTTATCGTACCACCTCATGGGAAAACTGCACAAACCTGATGTTGGGTTCAGATAAACCTAACTCACTGACACTCTGCTAATTTTTGTGCCCTGCAGCAGTTCACCTCAAAGTAATGTTTCTGCGTACAGCTGTACATTATGCACCAAATATGAGGATCACTTGTCTACAGAACTGGTGCTCCAGATAATCTTCCTGTGTTATTAGTGTTTTGCATATTAAAGTGTCTGTCAGACTTACTCGGTAGTACAGCCCTCAAAGTCAGGCTTTATTTGTGTAAACCAGCTTGACAAAACCTCAAGCCCCAGTTGGAGACATGAGTATCAGATGGTGGTTAGAAACTTATCTTTGTTGACCAAGTTTTCTTATTGAGACTCTCTTCACATTGAATGTGCCATGTGACCTCTGCACAAAATGAACCAATCATGTCCCACCTAGTACAGGTCGTTTTACAAAAACTACTGTCCAGCAACTGATCAAAGTGAATCCATATTTACTGTGGAGACTTAAACATTTTGCAAGCTTGTTTACTTTCATAGTGAATGTAGTATACAATCATTTTTATTGATCCCCCATTGGGGGAAATTCACACTCCACAGCAGCATCCAAAAATCTAGAAAGTACAAGAAAATAATAACTAAGTAATATGCGTCCTGGTGTCCGCACACAGCAGGTCCAAGGCCCCACCGTCTCTGGATGGGAAGTCCACAGACTGACTGATGTATGATTAAAGTCTCCTGAGATGATGATCAGAGACTGAGGGTGTGATGTTTGCAGCTGGGACACTGAACTATGGATGAGCTCAGAGGCTTGCTGCATAGAATCTAAAAGTGGTACCGTGTCTTTAAGAATGCAAAATATGGCTGAGATGTGGTAAAGAGGCAGATGCATGCCAACACATTGCTGTGGTCCTCCAAATATCTTTGATCACAGGTAAACTGGCTTTAATCCAGGCAACAAGTGCTGAAGCTGACAAGATTTTCCAAAGTGTTTGAAGTCATAAGCCTTTTTATTCAGTGTAAAAGTCAGATCATACAAAAATCACCAGGAAAACTTTCACAGCCATGCGGAAACAGTTTGCAACGCCTGTAAACAAAGAAGCCATCCATTACAACCAGTATGATGATCCAAACATTTGGCTTTATTTACAAAGTCTATCAAAGCTTGATCACAGCACAAATTTACCATATGAAAGGAAACTGGTATACACTATCAAAAAGATGTACAAACTTTAAACTGCAATCTAATAATGTACCTCAAGGGTCAGTGTTAATATCAATAGATTTATAACTATTAACATAGACTTTTTTCATTTGTATCCAAAATAAATTTTGCACCATAACCCTCTTAATTCACAATTATTTTCAGACAATAGTAACTCCAATACATTAAGTCATTTTTATCAAATATATATAGCACCACAATATAATGGTTTAATATAATCAGGGGTGAGGGGCTATCACATACAAAAGACCCGTGTTAGTATCCAAGAAGAAAAAACAAAACCAAACATCAAACTCCACTCCAGCACGCTCCCCATCACTGCACACGTCTAGCAGAACAAGTTCAGGTGCAAAAGAACACTTATGCAACCACAACTCAGTCCTGCTATGGAAACCCATCAGTACCAGAAAAGGATGAAACAATAATGTTACAAAAGGTCATTTAAATTTTTGAAACTGCAATTTAAGTCAGTCAGTTTGACCTTTGACTTAGTGTGTGTGTTTCTGGGGTTCTTTTTGTTTAGTTTTTTGACTTACTTTAGCAATCCAAACTAATCAAAACTGTGAAGATAGCAAGTATGAATGTGACCAAAATTACAGTTAAGTTGCAAATCTGACTTATCCAAAATTGTGACAGTAGTCAACATTGTAAATAAATTATTTCCTCAGCCAAAATTAGTAGTCAAAATTTTTACCCAAGTAAAATTCATCAGGATAATTTCAACGTTTTGATTCACCAAGCCAAATTTATGAAATACTAAGTAAATATTCTGAAATAAGTTAGAATTATGATAAACCAAAGTTAAGTCAACATTAAAAGTCAAACACAAAATGCATTCTTTCTGCTTCAAAACTGAAACAGAACATAAAACAACACATCATGTGGTTGGAATCCCATAATTGTACTTTGATGTTGTCTAATTGATCATGTGGGTTGCCCCCCCTTTCTTGGCGTAAATGGTCTTCCATACTTTTCTGATCACAGCAGAAGAGGGAATACAGACAGACTGAAGAACCAATGACAACTACAAAAAACCCCAAACAAACAAACAAACAAACAAAAAAACATGCTCTACACAACATCGGCACAAAGTGTTCAGTTACATGCATTCAGTTGATCAGTGCACCTAAACCCAAAACAACTCATCTCCAGCTACTGATGCCCAAACGTTCAAAATGCACAGCTACCATAGATTGAGTTTTGGGGATTACGGTGAAAAAACAAAGTTTTATCTCTACAAGGAGGGGTGACAAACTAAAGATTCAAAACAGTGTTGATTGTGCATTTGATTATTTCAGGTTAATCTAGAGGAGGGTAGCAGCAGTTAGTCCTTAGAACAGTCTCTTTTTTTTGTACTAAGATATTAATGCAGTTTGGTCATGAAGTACTTTAATGCTTCTTTCTGCCCTACAACATTAGAAAATAACCCCAGTGAAAGGCCGTAACCTGAAACCTGTCTGCTTCAAATGATTGTGAAACACTGCCTTTTATTGCTCATTTAAAAGCTTACTGTGTGTCCAATCTGATTAGGAGACTAACTGGAAAGGAAATTGGTAGAAAAAAAAACAACAACAAAAAAAAAACGCTAAACAATCTTGCATCCTGTTAGGAAATCAAAAGGAAAAGTACAAAAAGCAGCTTAAATGAGAATAGTTGTTTTTTTTTTATCATTACTCAAAATGGTGAATTGAACATGAATAAAGATTAAACAACCAACAAAATATGGACAAAAATACACAAAATGATTAGTGACATAAGACCTTTGCTGTTTGAACATATGGAAACTGTTAAGTGCCATAATAATTAGAATTTAAAAAGCACCTGATGTGTAAAATCTAACAACTTAGCACTTGTGTTGAAATTTCACTGTCATTGCAAACATCAATTTGTATTTATACAACTACAATTTTTGTATTTGTGTGTGGTTTGTTTTTTGTAATTGGCACAGAAAATGTGTCAACTTTTTAAAAAACTAAAACTTGAATTCAGTCTGTATGTTACGAGGTCAATTTCAGAGAGAACTCTCTGACTTGATTTGTTAAATCAGTTTAAATGATTTGCGAAGACCCTGTAATTAAAAAGATATATTAGGTGAATGGTATACATAATAAATTGTCTGCACAAAATTCAAAATAAGTAATGACAATACTTTTTTTTGAAAGGAAGACAGAAAAATTTGACTTTGTAAACCCTAAAAATGTGAGGTTCTGTGATTTTAATTCTTGTATTCAATTCCCAAAGTCAAATTAAAAAATATTTATAAATCTATTTTGAAATTTCATAATTAGTACAGTTACAATATCTGATTTTTTCTATAAAAAACAAACATACAATTGAAACAAATTATATCGATATTGTACCACTTGACATTATGGGAATTTTTGTCAAATTTCCAGATTCTATCCACCTAAGATAAAAGTCATATATTAAGTGACATTAATTCATTGTTTGTGTTTCAGCACCAAGCATTCAACAGTGGTTATATTTCACAAACACTTCTTCAGCTGCTTCAAAAATTGTAGTTACTACAGCACTCCTTAACTAGATAAATGCACATGATGACAATGCCTTTGAGCTTTTCAAACCCGGCCGATTCAGACTAGTAATTACAACCTTTATGACCATAAAAAGAAACACAAACTTCCTGAGAATTGAATCATGAACCTTACTGGTATAAAGAGAAATTATGCATCTTTTACCGTCACTGAGAAGTTTAAATCTGCTCTTCATTTGAATACAGCCTTTGGCCATACAGTGAGTATTGTGTATGAATCCTTTGCTCACAAAAATCACAGTTATACAATACCATTTTGTTAAATTATCTTATATGTTAATTCTATTAATGTAGTGATGATGACATTTGTGGGTGCTATAAATTTTACTTTAACATAGTAAAATAATATGGGCTCTATGATTATTGCATAACATTCAAATTAGAAGACTACCTCATGTGCTGTGATAAAATTCTTCCAGGTTTGGTGTCTAGTCTTCAAGTGGATCATTTTTTAGGTAATCGATATTTATTTGCATATGCTAACACACTGCCAGTCTATTTCACACTCTTGTTTTAGCTAAACGTGGCTAGCATCAGGAGGTAGTATATAAACAGCTGCAAAAATCTAGCTCTACAAAGAATGAAAGGAGTCTTGTCTTGTCCATTTCTGACTAATGAGGATTTGTTACTCCATACCATCATAGTTATGAAGAATATATATATATGGATATATATATAGAATATATGTATTTTTGCCACATTTAGATTCTGTCGTCTTATGTGAATGCTTCCCACAGAGACTACTGGAAAAGCAGTGCATTGTTTTATGTTTCATTATTAACAGCAAAAGCCTGTCTTTCTGTGGCTCAGGTGAATATAAACTAGCTTGCATACATATGGCTCTGACATGAGAACAACCGAAGCACAAAAACCCCACAAATGTTTTGCATATTACCCAAATAAAATATTTTGAGAGTAAAAAAAAACAAACTGATCAATCATGAGATTGTTTACCCAATTCTCTAAATATTCTCTTAACATGACAGGAGTCCAGCCTCATATGTTCAATGACAGAAGCTGAATTTGATGCTACAAATGCTGCCTGTATGGAGTCCTAAGTGTGCCACATATATTCCATTAATACAATAATAAAGAAAAAAAAACTACAAGTAAAATAAAAATGAGCAAATCTGCTTAGTCATTACTGTATTTCCTTAGTCTTACATTATGTGTATCTAACATCACTGAATTTATTAATAATTGCATTTCAAAGTAGAAATGCCAGTTTTTTAAAAAGGATTTTTAGTTCCACTTTTTGTTTAAGTATTTATAACAATCCATTAAACTGAAACATCACATTCGCTCCAAATCACAAAGAGGCAACAGCCATCTGATTGGTCAGAGCCTACGAACATGGGACAGCTGGCGAATGAAAGGCCCTTCTTTGTGGGTTGTTGTTGTACGTCAGACAAACGTACTATTCTGCTTTAATTTTATTATGATTAAAGCTGGAATAAGGACTTCTATAAATATGTATATTTATTTTTGTATGCATTATTTTAAAGCGTACTACTTGATAATACCTTAACGCTGAATCACCATTATTCTGATGGCACACTGCAGACTCCATATGAATAAAGAGGAGTTCCAGCTTTAAGTGTTTCTCCTCCTCTTGGTACAAATACAGCAGACATGGTCCAAAACACACAGAAACACCTGTATCTGAATCACTGCTGCAGTGCCATCGCTGACAGTGTGTCAGCGACGCAGCCACAGCAGTTGAACATGCTGTATGGTTAGTCAGTGTGTCGTCCACTTCTGATAAGACTTTAAGTTCCTCCCTGACAGCAGCGACATCCAAAATGTAAAGGTGGAAGTACATACTGTAGGGCTGGACAGTGGGAATATCATGTCAGAGTGCACCCTATCATACCAGTAAGGTTTCTCTTCTATTAAACATACCCTGCTGCTCACTTATAGTCACGCTATGCCAATGTTCTTCTCTGTTTAAAATGAAGGAGATATTTTTATTTTTAAAAAGTTGCTTTTCTTCTTTTTAAATCTCCACAGCTTTATCATTCCTGTTTAACATTACAGCACAAATACCCTCAAATATTCACAATCTGCATTTCTGTTATTTTTAATATTATATAAATTTCCTTGGGCTCATCAGCAACTACTGATCCACAGTTAGTGGTATTGTGGCATTTCTGGTTAGGGTGATAGGTCCCTAAAGCTCCACATCAAGCTTTCAAAACCACCCGACACTGTTACTTTATTAGATATGTGCTCTCTGGATGAAGCTTATCTTGGCTAATGTAATATATAATAACCACGAGCAGGGTTACTAGCTGGACCGTGAAGAAAACATTTGGTAAAAGCCACAGTGCTCAGGGGTTGTACAGCTCAGAATGAGGACATGACGGTATTTCTGACAAAAAAAACAGATATTCCCAGAGTAACCACTTGATAGAGCTATTGTACGTGATGTACAGAGCGTACAGTATTAAAGAAAACTGACTGGAATGTGAAAGAGTTTTTCTGTCATTAATATGGAAAAAACAATAGTGAGGGCAAGACAACGTGCTGTCGTCATTTAAAGCTGCATAGAGTGGAAAAATGGAAATGTACAAAAATGAAAACAAAACTTTTCTGAAGGGGCCAGGTGAAAAAGTGGTTAATTAAATGCTTAATTAGAAAATCTATCAACAATTATAATAGGGTCATGAGTAAAACGTTCTGTTTTATATCAGTGTACTCCGAGAAAGGGATGTCACGAGAACTGTTCCTTTGGTATCAAGTCAACACCAAAACTCTGATAGCGTGACAGCACTTATTATTCTAAGGTACTCAAGATGCTGTGGATGCTGACGGCAGTGGACAAGTGTTTTTGTAAATATCCAGCTACGTGTAAACGTGGCCTCAGTGTTTGAGCTGGATGACCAAAGACAAGTTAGACGACCAAAAGCAAGAATGCAAATGGTGTCACAGAGCTTTTGGAACAAAGAGACCAACGCTACATCATGTTCCCAAAGGCTAAAGTACACGTGTATACACTAACTTTACCGTGGCTTGCAACTTGAGGTGGGTGCTGCTAATAATATTTGCAGGCTTCTGGTCAGTCTATCAAAATATAATGTTGTGCATGTGTTTGTGCTCACGAGCACACTACGTGCGCGCCATGTGTTAATCGAATGAAATGGTTTATTGTGACGAGGGCTTATTATTCTGGTACTGTGACATCCCTACTTTGAGTTTTGGGACTGTTGGTGGGACAAGACAAAATGCAACCTTTGATTCTCTCCAATAAGAAAATATTTTTGTGCCAGTCCAAGATTTTGGTAAATTTGACAAAAAGATCTTTTGTTGAGTTAAAACTAGATTTTGGTTCTGTAATGATAGAATCAGGAATAAATGCAGCTGTGGAAATCATCTGGCTGAAGCATAAAGACCAGGATAGTTATGCTGAGCAGCTCTGTATTAAGATCTCTCTTCAAATCACAATCCTTAATATCTATACTCTGCACTTCTATTTGAATAGGTCTCCACATACTATATGAATATAATCACTTTATGAAACAATGAACATCACATTTCCCACACAGCCACCAAAAAAATGTAAATGCAAAATAAGCACATTAAGACAAAAACAACCCCAAAATCATTATATAAAAAAAAAAAACCAAAACAACAACAACAATAACAACAACAACAAAAAAACTTCAAGTACTATTAACAAAGTAAAAGTCCACCTGGCAATATTGTTCAGAAGAAAATAAAATATACACAACTCTGCTTCTTTGCCAGCTTCTCTTCTTGTCCAGGCCATTCAGTGGCCGACTCTCTGACCTGAAAACAAACAAAAACAACAAACAAAAAAAAAAAAAAAACTGAAGACCTGGCTCAATAAATGGTTCTCACAGTTTCTACAGGTCTCTGTGTGCGGAGCAGATTATGGCAGAGGCAGGATGGGCTGATGCTGACTTGCATTCTGTGGAAAAAGGGTTGTTGTTGTTTTTATCCATCCTTGTCTGGTTGGATGGATCAGACAGGAGAGAGAGAAAGCCGCAGGTGGTATGAAAGAGAATGCCCAAACATCTAAAACCCAGGCCCGACTCTGGGTGCTTTCCAACCCCTAAATCAGACAGGTTTTCGTGAGCGATCATGTGCACATACAGCTACAAGGTTAGAAGATTGTTCAGAAGGATGTTCCCTTCAGAATTTTTTTTTTTTACGAAGCATGAAACCAGCCTTCCTCTTCATTATCACCATCTCCTGTACTGACTCCACAGGCAGCCTGAGGCATTGGTCTGTGAGTGTAAGTCGAAGCTAGTTTGACTTCCCACATTGCTGATCCTTGCTGGGGTCTTCCAGAGGTGTATCCTGTCCCGATCCTTCTCCTCTGTCCTGGTCTTGTGACCTCAGGGCTCCTGTTTGATGTAGTAGCTGCCTGAGCCGTTGCTCTCTTGGTCTGAGGTGCCTTGTGAGAAGGTAAATTCGTCCACCTCAGCTGTCTCCTCCTTCATTCGCAGGAGAGACTCTACAGGTTGGGACAGAGACAGATAAGAGAGAGAACAGCGGCATAGATGAGCCACTTGTGTTCATGCAACTTAAGCAAAATACAGAAGGAATCTTTGTCTTTGTTCCATGTGGTGATGTTAACTCCCCATGCATGACAAGCATCAAGAGAACCACTTATAAAAATAAAAAAAAAACATTTAAAAAAATCGAATGAAGCAAACATGCTCTGTGGTTCCTTCAAAGTGGAGACAAAACACTCGGAATGCCAAAACTGTAATCCTAGAGAATAAAATGAACGGTACAGTATCACTCCAGTCCTTCACTGTCATAAAGAAATAACACGTGAGAACAATGATAATGAACATGTACAAACAAAGGTTGATTCAACAGCAGAACATGCAGCATCAGCAGTTTGCAGCTCCACCGTGAGGCCCTGTGACTCAGAGGACTGTCCCCTGTTAGAAACGCCACTGAGCCGCCGGAGGCTGGTTGGAGTCGTTAGTATGACATTACCTGATTTGTGGGTTTGGTGGAGGTGGGTTCGGGGCCGGGGCCGAGCGGGCCCCTGGACAGGGTAAGGGGGTGGACTCTGCTCTTCGTCCCCAGAGAAGCTGCTCCTCCTCCTGCCTGCCTGACTGAAGGGCCGTCGACCAACTGGAATCTTCCTCTCTAAACACCAAGCCAGACTCAGGTAAGCTACCAGGGGCTTATTACACACACTGGGTCAATTCAAGTGGATCGTGTTCTCCATAAGAGATTACGTATAAGGAAGAAAAGTTTAAAAGGTTAGAGCTTAGAGGATGAAATTTGTAATTTAGCTTCACATTGCTGTTATTTGCAGTGATATACTCATCTGAATAAGCCCCTGGTAAGCTATACTCAGACTGCCAGACCCAAGTAAGCAGATGCACTGTTAGCTACCAAGATCAAAGCTACAGCGGCGTTATCAACCAGATGGAAGTCTGTGAATGCCAATGTTTAAATGAAACCATTTTTCCATTTGTGCTGTCCATGATGTCTGGCAAAATAGAAATTTACAATGTAATGATTTTTGTAGTGTGCGCCTAAGAATTACACCATACCATAATTACAACAAAAGCATGTAAGATAAAGAATTTTCATTTTCATTTGTCTTGAGTTTGGCTACTTTCCAACCCTAAATTAACCCTGAAATGGCTGTTTTCAATGGATATTTTCATAATTTTCAATTCGATTCAATTCAGTTTTATTTGTAAAGCGCAGTTTACAGCATTTGTCATCACATAGCGCTTAATAATAATAATAATAATAATAATAATAATAATAATAATAATAATAATAATAATAATAATAATAATAACAGTTAATATTACAATAAAAAAACAGAGACACATTTTTCCAAATGACTTATGGGAAAAAATGTTCTGTTACAAAAATGTTCACTGTCATGACAACAAACTTAAATTAAAATTGCACTTTGGCAGTAGCTGCATTTTCAACCACTGAAATCAAAAATGGATTTTGCAATTTTAATTTGGATTTTTGACACACATTATGTGCACACAAATGGAAACTACCATTTTATTTTTTTAAAAAAAGGGGGATTTCATTTTAATATTGTAAACCACTGACTTCCATAAAAAGCTCTTTAAAATGTTCAGCAAAAGGAGTACCAATTTAGCACTAGCATCTGCTTTTGTGATCTGTAACTAAATAAAGGTGTAACACCAGGCCTTTCTTCAAGTACCTCAAACACTAAAACAAAATCTCAAACACTATTTTGTCCAAGAGTGCCGGCTATGTGTTGAAAACTTTCCTACTCAAAGGAAAAAGATGCTACTTTCATCCTTTCACAGCACGCTGCACCCATGTGACACAAGGTGTCTGATGAAATAGCTCCGGAGACACCAAACAGGTGACCAATCAGAGAGCAGCAGAGTTCCCACCACAAGTGTGGCCAGTGACAGTAAGAAGAACAGAAACAGGAGAGGATGGAAGGACCGAAGAGAAACAAACAGCAGGAAAAAAAGGCAGCAAGATTACTCACTTTTCTTTTGTCCTTTGTACTGTTGGGCCTTTTTCTTCTGCTTGGGTGCAGACTGGGGCAATTCTCTGTTACCTGAAAATCAAACCATAATACAGCAAACCATAAGCGTCTCACACTTAGGAAGTGTACACAGTGAGGTACAAGCCCAGTGAACAAATGCATCTTAAAACCACCGACAACTGCATCAACTGTAGGATGATCAGTCCTAGTATTGGTACCTTTGTATGAGCCATTATAGAACCTTTCTACAGTTTCTTCAGCAATCTCATTGTAAAATTAATTGTTTCTACTAACAGTTAGATTCAGTGAGTGGCCTTGTGTTCGGCATCCCCACACAAAACTAGAATGTATCCAGAATATCAGCTTCCAGTTTATGAAGGAAAACTACCAAGCTTTAAAATACCAGGACAATATGTAAAACAGCATCAGACACACTGTTTGCCTCAAAGCACTTTTTTTCCCCACATGTCCTACTGCAAAACTACCTGTTCATAGGCCAGTGCAACTGCATGCTCACTCCATAAATAAATCCTAGTACTTAATAAAAATTTTAAAAAAGCCAAGAGGTCATCATCATCACAATTTCACAATTTAAAAAAAAAAAGAAAAAAAAGAAGAAAACAAGTAAAATTTCTACAAATACCTCATTGGTATTTACTTATTTACTGATTCATTTATTATCTCACACTGACAGGCTTTTACATATTCAGTTTTATGTATTGTACTGTTGTTCTGTGGTTATTTTTTGTATTCCTGCTCAGAGCCAACAAATGTAAATTAGCTGCTAGCTAGCTCTGGTGCAGTTTCACTTATCTGGATACTGTCCCTGCAAAATTAAACAGAAAACAAATAAATATTGGCTATATTGACAGCCATTTTGATCAATGTTGAGATCACGATTATTTACTGATATTTGGAGCAAATATTTTAATGGACTTGCACTACCATGTTGCATTTCTGCTAATGATAAATCTTTGCATCAGACTAACACTGGTCCTTTTTCACAGTGCATCTCCTAAAACCAAAATATGAACAAAATTGTAACAAAACGTTTTACCAAAGACAGCATCAACAAATCTACCGCACTTTGTACGATATAAATACGCACTGTTAGTATCACTTTTATGGATATCTGAGTTGACAATGGCCGGGGACAGTCATACATACATACATACATACATACAGCAAAGCTAATATCTAGTGTAACGTCCCTTGACCATTTTCACCTCAACTAGGTGCTTTTGGTAACCATCCACAAACTTCAGGCAAGCTTCTGGTTGTATCTTTGATCACTTCTCGACAGCATTGGTGAAGTTAAACTGAATTTGTTGGCTATGCGACACAGACTTGTTTCTTCCTCACAGTCCACGGGTTCTTGACAGGGTTACGTCAGGAGTTTGTGGAAGCCAGTCTAAAACCTTCATTGTATACTAATTTAGTCATTTCTTTATCCCTTTTGATGGGTATTTGGGGGCAATGTTTTGCTGGAATACCCAACTGTGTCTCAGAACCAACTTTCTCACTGATGATTATAGATCTTCCTGAGGTATTTGGAGGTAACACAAACTGACAGTGCTCAGGTATTGCTAGAATATACTAAGACGGCAGGTTTTAACCCATATAATTCTTTTACCACTTTTGCTGCCATTACAGCTTATACAAAAACCTAGCTTGAAGACTTGGGACATTTCACAACTGACATGTAGTTTAGTTTATTTAATCTAAACCAAGGAGCTCACACTGAATGTAAGTACTGAGGCTTTATTTGCTATGTTCAATGGCAACTCCAATGAAGTACATTCAAACACAAGGCTTTCTGGTGTCAGATGTATGACATGCACACAAGCAAATTAAGACTACTGGTTTGTACAGGGGCAGGTATTAATTGCCACTTCAGCAATGTTTGTCCTCGCACACAAATTCACTTACAGAGGTACAGGTTGTAAGCAAGAAACAAAACATAGTGAGAGATAAAGAACAGCATCCGTATGTATACAACTAAGCAGAAGCGCATAAAGCTGCCACCACACACAAGAGAGTTTCCAGTTGGTGAGCGCTGGAGGGCACACACACATTCATAGGTAAACTTTGCTGTCAAAGCAGTGTTCCGCTTGTGCAAATCAAACTGAATTTGGGTGACTGTTTCTACAATATTGCCCAAGGAGAATAAAATTGGCTGTGCGTTTGAGTGGTAAAAAGTTCACCCATTGGCAAAGCAACTAAAGTACCTATGCTACAATAAACTTTACTTCTATTAGTACCAGGCTCACTGGAGTTTAAGGACTAAAAAGATCACATTCCATTATCCAGTAACACACTACTACTACAGACAACATGTTGCAAGACTGTGAAACTGAAAAACTAACGGAAAAACCTGATGTGACAGCAAAAGAGTTAATATACAGTGAATATCTTGACTTGAGTAAACAGATCAGGCTTTAAAAGATGATATCTAAACCGCTTCGATGAAGCTCTGGAGTCAACCTAAGGACAGCTGCTATTATAATGACTAACAAATGATTACGATTGCCGCTAATAATATGTGACTGTGTGACAGCTCACCTGTCTGAGGTGAACAAAAGTACACTGTAATTTACCATTAGAGCCTGACTAATCCTCTCTTCTATTTTGTTAATATTTAAATGTCTTAACTTTCTTGCTTCGGAGATGCTCATATAGATTCTGCAGCAGTCAAGTCAAAGGGAAGGTGAGAAAACATACAAGCACCTGAAAGCAACAAACTAAACTTAAGCTCCTGTTGATATTTTGTCAAAACCTGGATTATCATTGGTGAGTGTAATGAATCTGACCTGTTGCACACTATGTCTTCATCCGCGTGTGTGTGTGTGTGTGTGTGTATGTACTTCCATCAACGAAGCAAAATGAAAGTATAAAAAAAATGCCTTACAGGACATAATTCTTGCTGTAATTAAGGAATTTAAATACTCCATACAGTCCTTAAGATAAGACTGAATTGTTTACTCCCCAGTATCAAAAAAATAAATAAAATGACCATTAAAAGGTCCCATGTGGTAGAAAGCGGAGTTTTGTGCCTATATATCATCTTCTGCCACTCCTTCAGCCCTCCCCACAACTAGTTAGGTTATCAGCTTTACTGATTGGGAGCATCTGCAACTAAAAGCAATTTCCCCTCGGGGATCAATAAAGTATTTTTGATTCTGATTCTGATTCTGATTACAAGCAAGTAACAATTCCATCATATATACCTAAACCAATAGCCGTCCAGCTCAAACACAGTGTGCCCTTCCTGAAAGGGCTGAGAATAACAGCAGTTCATTGCCTTTCAGAGCACAACAGTTACTTTAAAACAGCCCTAAATCAAGGGGTTATATAGTCATAGTGAAATGAACCATCTTTGTAGTATTTTGAGGTGAAAAACTCGAAGACACACAAAGGTGACACGTGAGACTTTTGATTAATTAGCTGAAAAGTGGCACGATATGGAACCTTTACAAAAAGTACAACATATTCATAACTAACTTCAGTTAACCATTAACCAGCAGAGCAATTTCAGCTTTACAAATGGCACCCAGTAATGCTGCCTTTCTTTCACAGCCATTTGTCTGAAAACAGACAAAAGCAGCTCAGGGAGCTCCTGGAGCTCCACATGGTGGCCGCCCGGTTGATTGACCCACACAGTGTGAAGAAGTCACAGGTTCTGGCTGTACAAGAAGGCTGATTAAAACTCTATGTATAGTGTGAGATAATATATTACACTTGTTAAATAAAACTGACACAGTGTCTGTCAACAACTGGTACACTGCCAAAATGTTCTGGGAGCACAAGTACGTCAACATAAATGAATTTCTGACATTAAGTCCCATAAAGAACTGAACACCATGTACCAAATGATTCAGGACCAAAAAAACTTTCCATTACACCCTCATACCTGGCTACCAAACCAAAAATGTACTCTTGATAGGTTTACTTTGTCGACAGTCGACAATCAGCAGATGTTCATAATTATATTTAGAAAAACCTGTGTGATCACATATCTCTTTATCATAAACTCCTGTGGTTGGTATATTTGCTATCAGACCACAAAAATACAACACTGAACCTTTCTTCCACACAAACAGGCTCTCCTTTTCAGGACGTTTTGGCTTACTTGTTTCATCCACATCAGAGTTGGAGCGTGAGCTGTTACATCAGCCTAAATGAACCACACAAAACGGGGCTTACATCCCAGCGTTATATCTAAACAAGCAGCATGAATGGAACGCTGTTCAAGCTCACCACAAATTCTGTTGTGATGATGATGTTCTGTGTCATTTAAATAATGACATAAGCTGACATTTTGCCTTGATGGTAGCACGAGAAGCAGGAGGATGAAGTGCATTATGTTCTTACTTTGAGAGGCAGGGGGTTGGAGCTGGTAGCCTGTCAGCTGACACCAGCCCACGGGGTAAAGGTCAGGTGACTCGCAGTCCACCCACTGATCATATTCGTCTTCCCAGCCGTCAAAGTGTATCCTCAGTAGCCGGTGCACAATTCTCGTCACTGTGGCAACACACACCAGCCGCGGTTCCATGAGATCAACAGCCTCCAGCTTCATGCCTTGCCGGAAACCATGATTGGGAACCTCCTAGAAGGTGCAAGGATAGCGGATCTTTTTATACTAATATACATACAAAAAAAAAAAAACAACACCAGAAAAAAAATAATATTGAACTACTAGGTCTTATAACTATCACCAAACACTGTGAGGCACCTATAAATCCCGGATCCTATTATTTATAAGATGACAGTTACCAATGACATCACCAGAAAAAAAAAGACATCATATCTCACAGAACGTTAAGCTGACTCACAAATAAAGTTGATGAACCGAAATAAAAACCTACCTTGTTAAAGAGCCTGACAGGAGCAGCTATTGAACCTGTTTCTCTGAGGTAGTCGAACCATTTAAATGGCAGTTTAGTGTACCCTGGGGAACAGAGTCAGTGTTCAGACCAAAACATAGGCAAACCAAATCCAACCAATAGCTTAGGCTCTGTAATCATCCAATGGGAACAGTCGCTCAACTACATTTCCAAAGGGCTAAATGAAAAAGAACATTATAGTTAGTATACAGTACCTCTTGGGGGTGTGAGTTCAATGCTGTTGATTTCACAAAAGCCGACTGGAAAGATGGAGGGGGAGGTGCCATGGTAGCAGAACCAGTCTGATCCATCCACTGCCTCCGAACCGTCGATCCCGATCATGAGGTACCCGTCTGCCAAAACCTAGACAGCAGAGAATGACTTAAGATATTGTGGAACAGTTTGAAATGACAGCATTGTAAAATAACAAAACACGTAGTAATTCTTCTTTTACACACACGTGTCACATGACATTAATGTGTACACTTACCTTTCTTACAGTGGCTACACATATAGCTGAGAGGTTGAGGGGGTCAATGGCTTCCAACTTCATCCCATCTCTAAACCAATCCCCACTCTGGTCCACATCTTTCACCTGAAAAAAACATGCAGGTAGGAAGAAACACCAAATTACTGATTATTATCATTATTTTTATTATCATCAGACATGTTTGAACACCCGTCTTCGCCCTAAAGTCGGCTGGGATAGGCTCCAGCCCCCCCGCGACCCTAATGAGGATTAAGCGGTGTATTGATAACGGATGGATGGATGGATGTTTGAACACTGTGACTTTGAGAGGTTTCTAAGGTGTTTTGAAAACCAGTCATACAGACGCATTAATCATTATTCAACATTAGATATGAAAGTCTACTAAGCCTTAAGGCCAGTTGACATGTTCTGCATCCGCAAAAGTCTATGCGAGGTAAATGTCATCATCAGTCCTTGCCCATGACGCTCTCGGTACCCCTCTGTGGATGTCCACCGTGTAGACTGTATGTATTGCAAGCTGTACTGATGGCAAATTCACCAAAACAAATGTTTGTTATGAGGGGAGACTGTGTGAGGACTTTATAAGTCATCCTTAAAAGAGCTGTCATTAAAGTGGTCTCGCTTCTAGAATTTGTACATGCTTGATGCCGACGGTCTACAAACAGTCAGAGTTCCAAATTCTCCAGAAATCCTGTGCCATGTCCGCACACTGTGCTTGGGACAGAAGGCAGCCAAATCCAGCTGTTGGATATTTCATGGCACTCACCCTCGTGGTGAGTGCCATGAAATAACAACGTGGTGCTATAGCCTAACCTGTAACCAGCTGCTATGTCCTGGAAAAAGTGCAAAGACTAAAGACACAAGGCCCTCTATTATTTTGCTCCATATTGCTGTCCTTGCTCACATTTAAATAATCAGAAGTGAGCTTGCCATGTTAAAATTCTTAGAATTAAAATCCACATATAATAATTTCTTGACAACCTTCATGCTCTTATCTCAAATAGTAATTAAATCAACAGTCTTTCAGTATAAACTAACATAATGGGTGATTTGCATTTAACAAGGATTGCTTATGACCCGGCTGTCAGTAAGCTAAACTTTTTTATGTTTGGGATTAAGGGCTTGTTGCGTTGCCATTAGTTCTTGATCCAAAAAAAGGAAATAGGGTAAAAAAAAAAATCTAGACTCATGTTTAATCAGAAATTTAAATAACTTGTTTACAACAAGGGTGGCACGGTGGCTCGGTGGTTAGCACCGTCGCCCCACAGCTAGAAGCTCCCCTGTTCGTCCTGTTAGGACACCTGGGATCTTTCTGTGTGGAGTCTCCATGTTCTCCCTGCGCAGCGTGGGTTCTCTACAGGTTCTCCACCTACCTCCCACAGTCCAGAAACACGTTAATTGGTGATTCTAAATTGTCTGTAGGTGTGAATGTGAGTGTGCTTGGTTGTCTCTATGTGTAGCCCTGTGATAGACTGGTTACCTGTCCCCCATGACCCTAGTGAGGATTAAATGTTGTACAGAAGATGAATGGATGGACGTTTACAACAAACAGGGCACAGATCTGCAGTCTTACACATCAAGTATAAAATTAAAAATGAACAATGTCCGTTACCTTACTATGTGACATGACATGTTGTGAATTGCACTATATAAATACAATTGATTTGAACTGAAAAAGTCAAACCACATGTGAAAGACATGTTTTTCCATATCACCACTGTGGAGAGTAATAATACAATTTTGTTGCATTACCTTCTGAAAGAGCTGTGCAGGAGCGTCAGCCTGACCTTCAGTTTTCTTTGTAATATCTGTAAAATAAATTGACACATCAAAGAGATTTATTCCTGAGGTAACGATGCTACAGAAACATATAGCCCAAAAAAAGAGCTTTATTCGCGTGAGCTCAAAGCAGGATAAAATTACAGACAGGTGGAGCTGAGGAAGAGCTGGGCTTCGGGTCACATTGACTGACAAAAAAAAAATGATTTGATTTTCTAAGAAGAGGAGAGAAACATTCAGATACAGCTACATTTCACTGAATTAGGCATAGCACACCTGTTAATAAAAACAACCAATAAGGTTCTTTATCATTTATGATTACCTCATACAGAATTAGTATGTTGCACTTCCCAACATTTCTGCTGCTCTGAACTATAGAGTGCTGTTTGAAAATTGTGCTGCACTCATTTGTTTTTAACTATTTATCTGTGACAGTGTGCACAAACTGCTACACTTAACTGTAAAATGTAATTCTTAAATGGGAGATTTGCTCCTTTTATGCAAACAATTGTCCTTTATTGACAGAATAACCAAGGGTAATCAGCATGTACATATATGGTATAATCACCATACACAACATTTAAATATGGCATTTCACTTCCTTTGCACACCAGAAGCAGCTTATTGATCATTACCAGTGAATAATACATGACTCTGTGAAATCTTTTGCTTTGTCAAATTCAAGAAAAGATTTAATGATGTTCCTGAGGTTATCTTGGTTTGGAAATGGCATATTATTGAAAGAAAATTAACATAAAAATAGAGATTTCTAACACAAAGACTATCAAATAATAGATCAAATTGGGGTTGATATGAATGGGCATGGAGCTGAGAGCCGCAAACAGGTTTGGAACATCAAAATGTACGAGCAAGACACTTGTTTTGGACTTCTTGCAGAACTTCTTAACAATAAGAAAAATTATAGAATATCCAGCTTATCCTTTAAAGCCTTGCTATCTTATGAATCAAAACTGGCTACAAAATTCAAATCTCACAAACATCAAAAACTACCACCTAACTACACAACAGTAACAATGCAGACTTAAGAGTGCATCCACGATAGGACCAGGCAGAGGCAGCACAAGCCATCTCACCGATTTCGATGAAACTTGGCCAGTTTAAAGGGGTCCACCCAAAACTACTTCAGTCTAAGTTTAAGGCAATTTGGTCAAAACCAGGGGGAGTTGGTCACCCCCTTGTTTTTTTTTTTTTTTTTTTTTTACAAAAATGACCAAAAATTGCCCAAAAATTGATCAAAAGTATAAAGCTCTCCTGCTATAAGAATTTAACCAAATCTTTTCAGGTGGCGCACAAAGGTGCACTTGAGAAAACTGCAAACAGCACAATCATGCGTAGCCTCTGAGAGAGAGCTGATACTTGGTCATGTCGGTTTGTTTGACGAGGAGGGTAAGGAAATAGCTATTTGCCTAAAGCATTGTGCTTTATTTGGAGTAAAATATTGTCCTTCAAGAAAGATCAATTGTTTTTTTAATTGTTTTATTTTAATAAAACAACTGATTAAACTGGTGTATTGGTCAATCATTTGCCCCATGTGAGGGAATCCGGATTCCAGAGTTCATGAAAATTTTGCTCGTGGAATCTGGAATCTTATGCTTTGGAATCTGGAATACAACTCAAGGAATCCAGAATCCCACTAATGATTGAAATCCAGAACCCAAGTTCCACTGACAAAGACTGGAATACAGTACCTGGAATCCAGAATCCACTGCATGGAATCCAGAATCCAAAACAGTCAGTGATCATAATATTCTGTTTATCCCAGAATTTATGCCACATACAGGGCATCAAAAGGAAATAAAGGGTTGCCAGATTTTTCTGAACCTACCTGATCGTTTGAAGCGGTGACCAATGCTTCGTGACCAGCCGATATTATGGATGAGGGGGCTGTACATGTGGCACCAGAAGTCATCTGACCCATCCTGGCTTTCCTCATAGACCAGCCTGAGACGACCTCCAATAACCTGCTCCACTAACGCCACCCGTGTCCGGCACAGGTAGTTCTTATCCACTACCTCTACCCGCATTAGCTTCTTAAAGGGGAACTGCATGTTCTCGTGTACCTACAGTGAAAGATTTGTGATAAAACAAATGTGAAAAATCATACAAGAGGGAAAAAAGAGGCTTCAAGTTCAGTATGGCAGAAATTTCAAAAGACAAAAGGGTAACTGGTCTGCATCTACATAGCACTTTTTTTTCACCTTAGTTTCCAAAGCACTTCTTTTTCACCCATTCACACATACACACTCACACGCCAATAGTTGCAGAGCTGCTACTGAGAGCAACTGGGGGTTGCCCAGGGATGCTTCAGCACTTAGAAGGGATCGAACCCACAACCTTGCCAAGTTAGTAAACAACCTGCTCTACCACCTGAACCGTGATGATTAAAACTTGCCAGTAATCTCATGTCATAACTTCTGGACTTGGAAGTTGTCAATTTTTAATCAGTATATAAACTTTACAGTGCCGGCCTGCAAGTCCAGCCAGCCGTATGCCTCACCTTGGTATTAAAGTCAGGTGGCAGTGTTTTAGCTCCAGTGAGACGCTTCACAAGAAAAGCTTTCCAGTTAGAGTACTTATGCTGTATGCCTGCAAAAGGAGATTACAGAAATAACGGCAACAATTATCGCCAACATCTCAGAACATCAGCAGCTTCAATAACAAAACTCCGAACAAGTTTGGCACAACACTCACTTTTTGGAGGTACAAGGGGTTTGCCATTCGAAGCACACCATCCCACTGGGTGCACCTCGGGGATGCAGAGATTACACCAGAAGTCTTTACTGTTGTCGTTGTCAAAGCCCTCATACCGCAGAAGAGCCTTGAACCCTGCAGAGTGACAAAAAATAAATAAATAAATAAAACCCTGTCGAGGTGGCCAATTTCCTCCTCCACTCCTTGGAAGCAGCAGATTGATAAAACAAACACCATTCAAGGTCGGCTTGCTTGCTCCCTTCTGACTTGACTTACTATTTCACAATTCCAGAAGAGGTTAAGGTGGTTATCAGTCATCACTACATGAGGAGACACAGGCATCATCTGATTTTACAAGCTTTTATGTTCTTCCTTGTTTAAGTACTTAAATATGAATAAAATTGTTTTATTAAAGTATTTTTGGAAAGTGCTACAAGAAGTGTTACATTTAATGTGCTCACTTTGGTAAAGACACTTCAATACAGAGCAAGTAAAATGTTGGCATGGATACAGTGCCATTTTTTAGCCTATGTTTAGTTACAGTTTGGAAATGTAAGTACACCAAAGCTCCTTTTTTCCCATGTGGCATTGGATGTAATGACAAGTAAACTGAACCATTTGATTATTGTATTAGATACTGATGATCATTAATGAAGCCAAATATATTTATAGAAGATATCTGAAAATAGCAAATATTGGCCAGAGTGCTATACAACATGTTAGGAATAGAAACAGAGAATGCATAAACAAGAAAACATGAACAAGAAAATATAATACATCTTCTGACCTCCCCTTCTGTTCCCCCTCTGATGTCCATAAGGTCAAACAAGCACAGAGCACGCTGTCATAGTGTTATAAGAATTGGTCCGAGACGCTTTGTTTCTTATTTACAAAGACAGGACTGTGAAAAAACACTAGGTTCTATTTTTAAATGCACGCACAGGACTGACAGTGAGCTGACCATGTGGAGATATACACTGACTTGGACATTGTATTGGAATAAAATCTCTTTATCATTTAGTTTACCTTTGAAAAAAAAACTGTAGTCCTTAATCTTATAATACTGATGACAGTAAGTGTCCCATTAGGCTGTTGTAAATCATCTTGTTGTTGCGCAATACTTTGCTCATTCTCCCCGAGCCCCTCATTCCCACTCTCACCCCAACCAGTAGAGGCAGATGGCCGTCCCCCCTGAGCCTGATTCTGTCTGAGGTTTTTTATTTCCTTCCTGGTAAACGGGAGGTTTTTTGGTTCCTTCTCACTGTTGCCAAATGCTTGCCCAAAGTGAGCTTTGGATTTGTTGGCTTCTCTGTTTAAAATCTGGAGAGTGTTCACTGTACTATATGAAGTGCTGTGAGATGACATATGTTGTAAAATTGAACTGAACAGAATTCATAATTACCAGATCAGTTTCTGTTGACCAACACAGACAAAGCCAAAAGTGCAGCTAATGGTAAAATAGGGATTAAGCAACTTGAGTTTGAAATACAAAGTGTGTATCTTCCAAAGCTATCCACATATTTTGAGCCGTGGTGGAGGGATATGACTGGTATAGGTTGTCATGTGTAGGGCTGTTGTCAGAACAACTATATACATATACGACATCCAGGACAACAGCACACAACTCACACTTCTAATGCCTAATATTAGTTTCAGTTGAACTTCAGACTGCATTTTTACACAAAGAAAGGACTGTTTCACTATTGGCAGGCAGAATCACTAACCTGTCATTAATATTCAATGTGCATATATGAGTATTGTAATAAGACCTTGAAAACTTCACTATTTACAATTTTAGGCTATACTTTAATGATTCTAAAAATATGTTCACTAAGACTAAATAATACTAGTGGATGAAGGATTTGTGCTACACAGTGGAAGAGTTTTGACTTGTATCATCCTTAAAAGTGACACAGAATGCATTGTGCAGAACATCAATGTGTTCATCTTGCATAAAATTTGCATACATTTGTTGCTGTGACATTAGATGGGGAAAACATACTTATTAATACCCAAAGTCTGATAAAAAAAATAAATAAATAAATGAATAAAAAATCCAAACAAAAGGACCCAGAAAAATGAGACTGACATAACCAAGACTTTGAGATGATTTTTGCTTTGATTAAGTTTCGTCTTACCTGCTAGCTTTATAATTTCTGCTATCCAGTACACCTTAGTGGAGAGGTTGGTATCTGAGTTGAGCACTTCAATCCTCACTCCTTCCTCTATGTCTTCCCAGCATGTCCCCATAGGGGCCTGAGCCAAAGAAGAAAAAGTAATGTTATTAATGAAATCATACAACAAGTGGACACAATCTACTCAACTCAAACCTGTACTCACGTGCTTGAAACAGCTGACTGGAGCTCCAACTGTGTTATTGCTACAGATATACCTCCCCCAGTCAAAGCTCTCCGTAGGGACCACTGACAAAGACAACAAACAGTGTAATGGTGGAGTTTTTCTTAACAAAGCAGCAGTATTACCCCATTAACTATCATGACTGCTTCTGATAACCTACCGGCTTTTGATTTGGCCTGGTTCTGCTGACTTGCTTGGTACTGGGCATAAGCTGCCAACTTTGCCATGAGAGGCTGTTTTTGTAAGACTTTTGCCTTTTTTGTTGGTGGTTTGCCCTAGTAAAATCAAAGCAGACATCAATGTTTGTGGAGCTGCATAATATCATAGAAAACTGGAAGGGTAGTCTTATAATGTATTCACCTGGAGTCTTGCCAAGATGCTAGCTTTTTTAGAATTTGAGGAATAACTCCTGGAACAGGACACACTGCAGAAGCGCTTGGTTTTGGAGTAAAAAGCATCTCGGACTCCGACCATCCCACACATTTCACAGGTGGCTGCAAAGAAGGGAGCACAAGATCAAAACAGATAAAAGGTTAAAGTCATCAGACTACTACAAGCTGACAAATTCCTATGTTGCTTTCTCACAGAATTATATTTTAGCAACACATATTGGTTTCAAATATATTTCCATGTACTAACCCATTCCAGCCTTGCCATCAGGGTAGGTGTAGACTTGACCATTGTTCTTTATGATAGGCAGGCTAGCAGGGATGGAGGGCACCACCTCATCCTCACTATCCTCTGAGCTGGAGCTGCTGGTAGATTCCTCGCTGCAGCTGTCATAGCCATCAAACATCCCGAACGAGTCTCGACGCTTACGCTCTGAACGTGGAGTGCGTTCAGCCTTTACAGACAGGAAAACAATAAAAACAGAGACTTAATGAATGAACCACTAACATCTTTGGACGTCTTGTTGTGTTCAAGCAGCATCCCTAAGCACAAAGATATAAGCCTAGGGAAACCAGCAAGTGTTTGCAGAAACCAAAACTAATTTTGCTGAATTTTTCCCTTAAAAACAAATAAAAATAACAATAAAAATGTCATTGTCAAGAGCATCGCATGGTTTTTTTTCTCGTAATTAATTAAACAATTGACTTTTCGTTGCAGCTCTAAAATACTTTTCAAAAGCATCTTAGGGAAGATTTTCTGTTCTAATTTTGCCCTCCAATTACTTTCAGTTTTCCACAGCAGATCATTTACAGTCTTTTTTATAATCTTATCTGTTTTGGAATCTGACCTGGTGAGTTGGTCGTGGAAGCTACTAAGGAATTACTATTAAAAGATAAGGTAACTCGAGCTATGATGTATAATGAAAATGTGAATATCTGCAAGTCTTGCTCAGTAGTATTACAGGATCCGGAACAATGTTAAATGTTCAGTGCTGTCACAATCTGCTTACTTCCTCTTTAGAGCATCTCAGGTGAAACTTGAACTGGCAGCGCTTACGTTAGTTATTTAGCAAACTAGAATGTTGAAAGAAAAAAACTGTGTATCCGCCAACAAGTACGTTCCAAATGACATTTTAAATAAACAAAATGAAAAAGCTAACTAATATATATGCTGAAAAAGGGGCGGCCTTACAAAAATAGCACCTTATGCTAACTAGCGCTAGCACAGCAAGCTAGCGGAAAACCTGTTTTTTACCCGTTTTTATTCACAAAAGCACACGCATTATTCATTCGAGAAGCAAAGTTACATCTTCCCGTGTATAGTTGAAAAAAATTTAAGCCTGTTTAATTTCTACTTTTGAGTTTTTTGGGAGCGTTCTAGTATTTAACGCTGGCTGAACCACTAGCTAGCTGCCATAAACAGATAACAACAAAGGAGGAGCGCTAGCTTGAGCAAATCCTCTGGAGTCGGAGCCTCGCGGCCCTAAAATGTTTCAAACTCACTCACCAAATCCCTTGTGTCTTCCATCAGCCCTTCATATAGATAACGTACTAGTTATCTGTGCTGTCCAATGCAAATACAGCCTCTACGCTGGGGATAAATTTGGCTGTGAAACACTAACGTCTAAATGAATACTACCAAGCAGGATATCAACAAATTACTCTGCTGCTTCTGCGCATGAGCGAGCGTAACCTACTTTCATGCGATTGGTCAATCCCGAATGGAGGTCATCGACCGAAGCAGAAACAAAACAGTGAACTGTGCAGAGATGAATGAATGAATAAAAGCTCTCCACACCATACCACTACTTGTGTCAAACCAACACAGATGTATATAAATGGACTAATTCTTGCCAAACTAGTAGTTATACACTTAAGTCACAACCGCCGGTTTCATTCGGTTTGCAAAGAATACTAGCACTTTGATCAATGAAGATTTACATTAAAGGTAGGTAAGATCTGAGTTCACAGGAAAGGCGTTTGTTTTAAACTATGCAGTTATAGTATGACAAGCATTTCAAAATAAGGGACACAAACAATATTTGTGAAGTAAAATAAATCCTTTATTATAATATAGTGCATTCTATTACACCTCTCAAGTTTAACTTTCTTCTCTGCTTAGCTAAAGATGTATTTGATGCCACATTTTCACCCAAAACAGAATCTGAGGACCACATTCAATAATACTGTATGTTTTCAAAAAGATAACAACTTGTGAAGCCCAATACATATGTCATTAATTTTCAATATACATACAAGTAAGAGAAATAAACTAGTCATTACTAGCCACTAACCAGCTGCCTTCTGGTTCCAGTGATTCATATCACAGTGCTTTTTGTTATCATTATTGTCAGTATTATTTTTATAATAACAATAATAACAACAACGACAAAAACAACAACAATAATAATACTGGCATTCTGTTTTTGTTCCACTCCTCATTTCTTGAACTCAGGTATGTCGTAGCAACACATTTAAGTAAAGCAGCATTGGGTACAGAACAGGACATCAAAAAGGGAAAACATAACCCAACATTACTGAAGTAACAACAACAATGAATATGGCTGGAAGAACTGTTGCACGCTCGTCAAGTGGGTAAGGCTTCACGATGAGGATTTATGCGGTTGTGTTTGGATCAGACAAAGAGACCTCCTCTTCATCTCATTTGGACTGATGCTGAGATGATGGTCAGTGGCGGGAGGTACAAGGAGGCGAAGTAATCATTTCAACAGACTTACAGATGCATTTTACAAGAAAAGCTCAGATTCACTATGTCATTAAGCCATGACACAATACCTTTATATTTATGTACGTCTCTGGTCTCACAGCAGCTCATCCTCTATGACATCATCAACGCTCCCTGAGATTGAGGCAGCTTCTGTGAAACAAAAAGGAAACACTCAGATTAGCTAGATTATCATTATCATTAAACATCAGCCTGGATTTTCTGTTTATCCACTACAGCGTAGACGCTTCTAAGAGAATCACAGCATATTACTAAGTCCCTCAAATTTAACAGAAATGCAATACAATTAGATTCCCAATAAGCACATTTTTCATAGTCCTTTCAGTTTAACAGGCTCAAAAAATAGAATTATCATTTGCAGCTCATGAATGGCTAGAGTCTGGAACTCAGGAATGTGAGCAAATTGCTGAAGTTCCCCCTGTGAGACGTTGTACCAGGCTTTTACTGCAGCCACCCTTAGTTCCTGCTTGTTTGTGGGTCTTACATGCAAAGTTGGATTAAGGTCAGATGACTGACTGGCCATTTCAGAATAGGAATTGGAGAAAGCACATTGAACAATATTCTCACATCATCACATCTGTGTGAGAATACATAAGATGCTAAAGAGCATTAGTCTGTACGTGTATAATTTGCTGTATAAGGACAAGTGTCGATATATTGTCTGTCTCGCTTCCTCCTTTTTCTCTTAAGGTTCCACATTTTTGCTGCACAGTCTGTTAAACAATCCATTATATCTTGTGGTTCTACTTGCTGCATTACAGTGGGTCAGCATTGTTATAGCTCCAAGGCCAACAGTGAGTCTCATGTACATAATATCACTGGTGTGGCTGCTGCTGTCAGTAAGGAAGCTGCAATCACTCAACAGAGTCACATCACAGATATCCTGCCAATATTTGTGACTGTACTTGGCTCCTGGGGAATCATTTATCATTAATGCGTAGAAAAGGTTCTAAATTCTGTCTTATGAATGAAATTTAGAGAGTGTGTGAGTACAAAAAAATCTGTATTTATCAAACATGCGTATATAGGTCATATGCACATCAGTAAGTCATCAGTGTTGGTAAATCCCACTTGTTCTTAACTTCTATGCTCGTGCACTTTCGGGATCATTTGCCTTCAGAAACGCCTCCAATTGACCATATACGGCAACAACACGTCTCTTTATAAAAAGAAAAAGAAAAAATTTTCCCCCTCAGCTTTCATCACCATGACATAGTGGGCGACAAAGAGGAACCTTTCAGAAACCGAAATTAAGGTACTTGTCAGCAAAGTTGAAGCTAACCAGAAAGTATTGTTTGGTGCATGAAATGTTGGGATAGGCAACAAAAGAAAAAAAATACTGCATGGGACAAGATAATCACTTTATTACTGTTGGGTCAGGGGAGAGATCACTGGCAGAAATTTAAAAAAATGTAAAAAGTGGTTTGACACCAAAAAACGCGTCACAGCCGATAGAAGAGAAATGACTGCAACTGGAGGAAATGAACACCCAACGTTCACCCAGTGGATAAGCCTGATCACCGACAGATGAGATGTTCTAATAATCATACTAAGTCCAGCAAAAACATGTCCACACTCTGTACCACTCACTGATAAACTAGCCATCTTCAACAGCTCCACAGAGCTGGAGTCCGTTTCACAAAGCAGGTTTAGTCAAAACTCTGAGTCGGTTAACCCTGAAATGAGGGAAACTCAGAGTTTTCCGTTTCACAAAGGGAAGTAACTCAAACCAGAGGAACAGGGGTAGCTCTAGCCTATTTCACAGAGAGAGGTAACTTAAGACCTCGGTCAGTTACCATAGTAACGGACTCTATGAACTTAACCTGGTCGGGATCAGGTTTTTCTCAGTGAACCTTGAGTTTCTCTCTGTCTCCGCCCTCTTTCTGCCACACACGCTATTTGATTTCCTCATTCATTCATTCAGTCAGCAGGCGAGTTTGGCGTAGCCTAGTTCTGCTGTCTGTCAAAAATTATTTTAAAAAATCAGTCAGTAGGCTGTATTAGTAGTTCATTAGGCGGCAACTTTTTCCACTAACATGGCATGTCCTTTTGATAATGATCTCGTGGATGAAGGTGCAGCATTACTGCGCCGAGAATTAAATATTCGTCTGGAGATGGTTATTAGACTGCGCACAGATGTTCTAGCATTTCCAGAGCACCTGAGTAAGGCAACTGTATGCAGGGCGGTCAGAAAAGTGTGCCTCGCCCTGAACCGGCTTTAACCCATCTTTGTTGTTTTCCCTGGACATAAACCTGTCAGAGCCATCAAGGAGGAGTTCCACAGGATTGCAGGTGAATGCCGTAGAGATCTGTTAAATTAATTTAAATTATATTCTGTTAATGACATTGTGCTGCAACCTCTTACCCGAACAATGTTTTTATATTTCATCTAAAGCTGCTGCCAAGTGGGCTTCTCCCCTGCGGGATTGCACCTAAATGAAATAAATTAATAGACTGCCATTCAAGCAGTTTTTCCTGTTATATTATTGTAATTGCAAAGGACAACATTTAAACTTACGCATTGACCCGAGCACCAACGTTATCCACACTCACTGTGTGAGCGCATTAAGATTTCCAATTCTAGTGTGGTGAAAAACGCAGCCCTCTGCTTCTCCGTTGCCATGGGGACTCGTCGAATCAGGGCTCCATTGATGCTGGCTTTTTATAGTTGTGGTGCACACGCTTAACTCCAGGTGAAACTACTCCAAGTTGATTAAACTAACTCAAATCCGCTGTTCTGAACCCAAAACTCAGAGTTTCCTATCTAAAAGTAGATCAACTCAGAGTTCAGGATTAGACAGAGTTTGTTGAACCTGCTTCGGGAAACGGACCCCTGTTCTGCTCAATGAATGAGTCCTGCGTTCCTTCAGGCCACTGGGCAACAACGTTTGATAGCGACAAATGTGCATCACAAATTATTTGTACGTTAACTGAATGAGAACCTTTTCTATTAACATAATTAATTTCGTTCAGTGATGCTGCTTTGATTGCGATGTGGGTGCAGTCTATGGTTCCAATTATTTTTGTGAATCCAGCGACGGTGTGAAGTCCTCGTTTGATTTGGGCTTGTTGGTGATGGCTGTAAGGGAGCTGGATGTAGGCTGGGGCCAGGGGAGTTATGGCATCCAACACTGCCGGCATGATCCTGCTCAACAATTTCCCTGAGGTTTGCACCAAAGGGATCAATAAAGTTCTATTCTATTCTATTCTATTCTATTCTATTCTAATGCCGCATGTGTCTCCAACCTCATGCTGGAATGGTGGTCAACATCCCTGAATGCTTTCTATTTGTAGTTTCACTATTCTACCGCTAGATTATATGTGTAAGCACGATCAGAGTTGTGTGTATATTTACGCACATTCCTAAGTATAAGTACAAGTTGATAAGTTCAATACTTTACGTGGAAATGTTGGTACGCACTCATTACGAACACATCTGTGCGTACACACTGATGATAAATTAGGGCACCTGGACTTTGTAAGTAGGTAGATGTGGATGTTGTGCTGATGCAGCTATTTACTATACTGTCCTCCTTGGTGTAAAAGCTTTCCGTGGTACTCCTTAGAGTGGACTTTTGGTTTTCTGTGTCTTCACTGAAACTACTTCACTCTAGCAGAGTGTGAACTACAATCATCTCGTGACTGGGAACTCAGCTAACATGAAGTGGAGGAAGCAGGTAAGTGAGGTTGTGAGCCGCAGCATTAGTACAGAGACATCAGCACCAGCTCGGCTGATGGTGTGTGGGGGATGACTCAACAATGTGAATCAATTCAGTTGAGGTTGAAAGGACAAGCTGTGTGCTGTGAATGAGAGGAGGGACAGTCGTTCTGATCCACTAATCTCAGGATGAGTGGCGAACATGGAGATGACAATGAGAACAATGTGAACCCAGGTTAATAATCTTTATTTTGTTGCAGAGGGCCTTTCACTAACAGCCCCCTCCAAAAATAACAGTAATGCATGTAAATTTGCAATGACTTTTTCTAAGTCAGTCAGACACGATAAGATAATGAAAGACACAGACACACCCTTTTTAACAACTGACACATGTAGGGGAGGGGATCCCAAAGCTATCTGACTATCCAACATATAGTTCAAACATACCATCTGCTGCTGTTTTTCTCAGTGTGGGTGAAACTGTATGTGTACACAGAGGAATTGTAGATGCAAACAGACTTTTCAGCCCTTTTTTAGACATGAGATATGTAACATTGCTGGCGACATCAGTCCTTCAAAGTGAAGGCATTCTGTTATTTAGACAGGGGTCACTTCTCTGTTAATGTTCCCCTCTGCTGCATGCAGACATGCCCACCATAGTAATGGAGAGAACCATGGTACACACACAATATTAGTCAAGGTTAAATCTCATAATCTAAGTTTCTAGTATCTATTTTCATCGCAGTAAAGTTTTATTGTTAAGGACATTTCAGTTTGTAGTCTAGTAGATTTTAAATTGTAGAGCAAATTGAATGAGAAAGGTGTGTTGCAACTTTGGCATTAAACTGTGTCTTTTGGTCTCTGTGATGTTTTTAGACCAATATTGATGCTGAAATGGAAAAAAAACTTCCCCAAATCGCCTTATCCAACTCAAAGCACTGTTGCTTGTGCATGCCTGTCTGTTTGTGAGACGGCATGCAGTTCAGAGTTGTGCCGCGTTGCAAGTGATACAGAAACGTTACTAGAGTCAACCTAGGAAGCAGTCATAGTTTTTGTGGATAACTAACTAGGGTGCGTATTCAGACAATGAAGCCGATCTTGATCCATGTCCATGTAAAGACACTAAGTAAATCTCACTTTACAGTTCAGCCTTTGAACTCACCTGATAAACTGATACAGGAGAGGCTGAGCTCTGACGATGCTCCTATTACATCATCCTGCAAGAAGAAATAGAAGTGACTGGAGGACATTTTCAAATTGTTCCAACATTCTACTGACATAGCAGACCTGTGTCCTCCACATCAGATTCAAACTTGAAGTCCACTTCCAGAGCTTTAAACCATATACTAGTCTTTACCAGCACAAGCAGTTTGCTCATTTGTCACAGAGATGGGTCAGCTGTCACCTCATGAGCTACTAGCCCTTTTCTACCAAAATGTTCAATTAACTCTGCCTCTCATCTACTTGTGCTCTCTCAAACTACGAATAATCAAAGTTTGCAGTTAGCTGGACTGCATATTTACAACAGAGGTTTTCAGTAACCAGGCTCTAAAGGTTTTAAAGGTTGGTTTATGCAATGAAAATCTAGATTCAAGATATTAAAGAGTCTATAAACTGCTGGCCTTAGATACAGCTCTCTGATCACATTCTCTACAAATGAGTTAAACCCTTCCAAATTCAGTGTGCTTGCAGTGACTCACCAACATCCTCTGCAGACAGCCTAGATTGTCACCTTCAGTCCTCCCATTCAACACCTCCTGGAAGCTGACAGCATGACCCAGCCGTATGAGCTCTTCACCAATATCCACAGTCTACAATGGACAGGTTTTTTTTTTTAACTTAATGTGTGCACAAAAAGAAGAGGCAGGTAAAGGGACAAACCAAACACAGGCCTACACAGACATAAACAGCTGTCTGACCTTGCCCTCACTGTTGTCGTAGAGCTTGACACTGGGCCACGAGGAGATCTCAGAGTGAGAGTAGCTGCAGAGCTTGGCCTGCAGGGGTCTCCAAGAGGCACAATATGTCAGTCGCTCAAACTCATCCAGGGCTTCCTCAGTCCACACGTCCACTGAAAGACAGCAGCAGGACAGGAAAAGATGAAAACAAACTATGAACAAGGCCAAATATCAATGGGCAATCAGCAACCTCCACCTTATTCTAAGCTACGTATCTGTGAGATGAAGTTATCATCGGGAAGACCACTTTACCTTTTGGCCTCACCCCTGCTAAGTTGCACTCAATAGCTTGGAATGGTAAGCTGAGGAAGTCACTCCTGAAACGTTAATGCAGCAAAAGCAAAAGCTGTTAGTAACATATCTGTGTCCTTTTTTGGCTCACGCTACACAGAATAATATAACCTCTCCAGCTGCAATACAGCACAGCACAAACCCTAATTCAGAGTGTTTAACCTATTCTAGACATTTAAACATATCTTTGGTAAATTAGCATTTTATTATTATGTTAGCATCTTTACTTCGGTCTTCAATGTGTTTTATATTTTGTTACTGATTACTGCACCCATTGTTTGTTTTTTTGGCTTTTATTTCCTTGTGCTGAATTGCTTTAGCAGAAATTAACAATATAAAGCTCTTTGTTGTGTTTGAAAAGTGCTTTCTACATGAAGTCATGTGGATTTGTGGCTTCATGTGTGTAATGCATGAAACAGTCAACTGTTGGGAAAAGTTGTGTCGTATGCATTAGAGCCTAAATGAAATATTTTTAAATGCCGTTGCTGTCAGGTTGGAGTGTGTGTGGTGGTCACTGCTGTGATTCTACTATTCAAATTTGATGTTCTGAAATGTTTGTAACCTGTTTGTTCATCATTAAGTATGATACAATTTCACAACAGAAACATCGGGGGGGAGGGGAAAAAAAATATTTATTACGATCATGTCTGACACTGAATTTGGCTCCACCTTTCCCCTGGAGTTCTCCTACCTCATGCGGCGGAGGCTGTCTCTGGGCAGCTCCCCGTTGTCCCCAAAGTCAACATAGTAAAGGTCCACCAGTCCAGAGTTAAGGACTCCGAGCACCCTTGCTCTGTTCCATGTGCCGTGGTCTCGGTACGTCGCTGCCACAATGTCCCCCACTACAATGGTCTCCACCCTGTGCTCCTACAGAACAGAAACTCAGCTGTGTCTCCCTCCATTTTGAAAACCCTGGTTTTGTCATAAAGACTTTTCTAGTACAGCACAAACATGAAGGCAGAAGGACATGTCCTTACTGTGGGGTTCCCACTGTTGTAGAAGCGGTTCATCTCCTCCGTCAGTTTGTCCAGCTGGAGGGAGCGAACCCCCAGGATCTGGATCCAGAAATGGTTTGGGTTCTCCGAGGCAGAAAGATAAACTTCTAAGTGTTCATCTGGCTGGAAGCTCAGGTCTGGGCTGGGAACTGGACCACAGGGAGAAAATAAAATCTTAGTGCTCAGAGACACATTACAGGGGAGTTGCAGTTTGATTAAAAATTTTTCAAAAGTAAACGAGAGAGACACAAACTAACTTTCAAACTTGGACACTTCAGAGAGTGACTCCGTAGAAATACTCTCCTCTTCCTCCTCCTCCTTTCTGACTGTGTTGCTCAGTTTCAGCTCCTCCACCTTGTCGAAAATATTTTCAGGTTGTGTGGTGCCGTTGGCATGGACAAGTCCATTCTTCTCTGTCTGGAAGACGGGCCCGTTGTTGTTAATGCCCAGTGGTGGTTCTGTCTCCACGCTCTCAGGCTTCTCATTTACAACATTATGGCCACGTTTCTGGCGCAGGGCAGATGACTGTGAGATCTTCGTCCTCACCATCATGTCTTCCCTGACTTTTTCTAGAATCAGCTCCTGCAAGGACATCACAAGCAGTGACACACATTTTAAATAAAATGCTTAAATGGGAGGAATGAACAAACAAGTCCATCCTACTTCACCTTGGCCTGGTTGATCTCCTGTCTGGTCCCTGTGATTGTCACACTGCCCTTTGCCCCTGGACCGTGAGCCTTCTCTTTAGAACAGGCCACTTTGGCTCCTGTGGTCCTGGTGATCAGTTTCAAGCTTTCTCCACCACGGCCTGCAAAAGCAGCACACACACAAAGTCCTGACACACATACTATTACACCCCAACTGTTCATGAGAGGCATTTATCTAACACAGAAAAAATCAAACAACAAAGGTTATATCTGTGATATTCTAAATGTTTATACAGAAACAAACACAAAACAACAAAAAGCTATGGACACGTATTGCAAGCACTGTGTGCACCAAAGCCTGGCTATTTTTGACTCAGTCCCACATGCACTGTCTTGCTGCCAGAACTACACACTACTGCTAAAAACAGTCCCTAAGAAATGCACCATTTTTTGCGATTTGAGTAATGTTTCCTACAAACTACAGTGAGCCACTGGTTCAAGAAATGACTGAGCCATTGAAGAAGAAAAAAAAAAAGAATCGGCAACTATAAATGTATGTATTTGTGAGGTGAATATTTCCATCTTTGGCACCAAAGAAAAAGCTTGGAGGTAAAGAGCTACAGACAGCTGGGAAGTCAGAAAATATTGAAAGATGCACCAACACACTGTCTGGGGTTGGTCTTCAATATAAATCAAAAACAAATTCAGTTTTCATATTTCAAAAGATCAGAATTGTATAGAAAACTGTGTACAAGGAACTGACACACTCCCTGTTCATGGCATGAAAGACTCCAAGAAATGTGTTGTACGAAATGGTTTAAATCACATATAGAGATAAAAATCACTTAACACCTGACCACATAGAGGTCATTTAAAATGACAGGAAAACATTGTGATCTGAGAGAAACTGTATGTTTTGTAAAATAGCACAAAAAAACATGTGTTTCAGTTCAAACATGTAGCACACTTCATAGGAAGACTAAATGTTTGAAAACACTAAAACACAAATGTATGATTAGACATACATTAGCATGACAGGATTCAGGATCCTTTTTTTTTTTTCCTCAGGGCACAGTGTTTATTCAGTTGTGTTATGTTGTATTGTTTTCAGTTGTTGCATGTTTTATTGTTTCTTCCCCTATGATCACTGCAGACCAAATAAAATTATAATTTTAAATAAATGATGATATTTCACATTTTTGAAATCCTTGACTAAAATTCTGCCTGGCAACACCAGGACTTGACAGCTATCTGAATCTTGAAACTGCCTTTCTGAAAAAACAGGCTGAGAAGTGTTCAGCAGCTCACTGTTGTGTCTGGTTGTGTGTACTGCTGAGCACAGAACACTTTGTTCAACATTTACCATGATTATAAATGACACATTGCAGGTAAAATAGACATTATCATCTGTAAAGTGAGACATTTCAAGCTGCAAATAAGCAGCTGATACATTATTTATATGAAAAATTAAAGATTACTACAGCTTGTAACATGTAACTGCAGGCATGCTGATGCAAAAAACTGGTTTCAGCAACTTCAGAAAATATCAATCTGCAGCTTTAGTTTGACACCAGTGTTGAAAGCAAAAAGGTTCTGACGCAAATGGGCAAGGTCTAAGAATAAAGCTACCTATTATACGTCCAAAGGAGGTTTGAGGAACTTCCAAAACCTCCAATACTGGTTCACATTCTGTGACCAGGTTCTCCAGGACACAGCGTGCCAGCAAGACCTGTTCTGCAGAGCCCTGCAGCAGGAAGCATACAGCCGTCTTACTTCCAGGCTCCCCTGAATCAGACAAAACCCTCACATGAGCCCCGGACTTCTGGGTCACCTGAACAGAAGGACAGATAGAGAAAAGCAGACGAATGACGAGTTGGATTTCAGAAACATACACTTTAAAAACCTCTCTGATACATTTTCATATTCCTTGATACTTACTGCTATCTAGTAAAATATACATTGATGGATGAAGTCTTCATTAAATTAAGACACATGTATGAAGCATGACAAGTGGGATTTTCCTCTATGTATGCCATCTTTATCTTCACAAGAATGGAGCCCCATAGAGACAACATCAAATCTCCACAGGGATAAATCAACTGAAAGTAAAAACCGGCTACTAAGTGTTGTCAAGATCTGCTCCAAAAACATCGGGCTCCCTGTAAGAGCCCTCAACAGACCTTAAGGAAAGCCAGCAAGATCCTTCAGGACCCATCACACCCACTGTTCTCTGCATTCGAGTGGCTCCCCTCTGGATGTTGCCTTTGCTGCCCAGGCTGCCTGACTCAGAGGAGGAGAGCAACTTCTGTCCCCAGAGTTGTCTTCCTAAATGCTCAACCATCGTTGACCAGCTGACTCCTGGCTGACGTCCACCCAACCCCCCCAACCCCATACCCCCCACTCTCAGTAACTGAACTGAACTATGTTTGGACATTGACTTTTCTCTCTCTCTTCGCGAAATCGCTGGACTCTTCCAGAAATGCACTGCACTTTATATGAGCAATTTATTTAGATAGGTATTTATGAAGATATTTATTATGTGTTTTTTTTCTCTTGAATTGAATTAATTACTTATGTGTCAGCCCTGAAAAAAAAGAACATTTTGGTCCCTATTGTGAATAGTCTTAACTATAAAGGAAGGAGTCTCTGTCTGTGGGTGTCTGTCACTTTTCTCGACAACATTTTATGCCATATGCTTCAGACTTTGTGGGAGTATTGCTGGGGACCTGAGAAAGTGCAGGGGTGATGCTGAAGTTGTTTGGATGAGCAGACCTCATATTATAACACTTTAAAAAAAAAATTTCATTACTTTTTCATAACAATATATTGCCAAAGACATCCTCGGCAGTCCTTTGTCTTAAGGAGGCGTTGACAGCACATTCAAGTTTTTACAGTTTTCAATTGCGTCATCATTGTCTTGGACACAACCTCCATTGTGTGATCTCATCATTGGGTTTGGCTAAACTCCAACTGCATACCTTTAGCTAACTATCAACTGTCCAGCCATCTAGTATATATATAATGCAAGCAACACAAAAAAGAAGTTGAGTTTACTTTATGTTGGAGATAAACATTGGAGATGGTTTGCTGATGGAGCTGTCAACATGCCAGAGAATTAGATTAGATTAGATAGATTAGATAGAACTTTATCCACTGTGCTTTGGTTTAAAGGACAAGCCTAGAGGAGGTGCAGCATTGTGTTCGCTCTCCCACCTCCATGATACTCAACATAGTTCAGATCCACTTCACCTTAAGTCATATTAATGAGGTATGTAAGATCTGGGGCGTATGCTTGTCCAAACATTCTGCATGAGCCGTTGACTCCACTGAGTCGCTAAAATGTTTCAGTGAACTTTTGCTTCCAAATGGTTTATAGGCTCAAGCATCTGTAGAGGATACAACTATGTATTACAGGTGCACTGATCACGACCCAAGGAAGCAGTGTCAAATGTGAAGGTACTTGTTTGTAAGGGCGGTTACTGAGAAAGCTACAAGCTGCAATCAACATGTTCTTAACAGGTGTGATTTAAAGGCCCCTGCACCAGTGTTTGTACTGACAGAGAGACAGAGAGGGTGAAGGTCTCATTATAGTCCTTATATTGGGTATTGAACTACTCACCATGTCTAAAAACTTGGCCTGGTATTTGGATATGTTCCTATAGACTTCTACAGGAAGAGTCATCTTGGACACTTCAGTGTGGAGTCCCTGACCTGCTAAGGTAAGGTCATCAGAGCATAACACAAAAATGGGATTTATCAATCATACACAAATTTGGCTTTTAACAATTACTGTTGAATAGCAGATACTTACTGTTGTTGGTGCTGCTGAAGTGGCGATAGACGATGTAGCCCACTGTGGCCCCGACAGAGAGACCCGCAGCTAGAGCCACCATTTTGCCTGAACTCAGGCTGCTCTTTTGACCCTCCTTCACTGCATCCATGACACGCCGTGCACCCAGCGGGATGCTCCACCTAAACATAGACATCACACAAGTCTTCTTGTGACTGTTCTCAACTGTCCTGCAGTTGCACCTTCCCAGTGCGGTTTACCAGCTCCTGTTGATGAAATGTCTTTACAACAACTCAGGTTTCTTTTTGCTTTTGCAAAATGCAAAAATGACCTTTACTGCAATGCAGATGACATTAGCTGGTGTCAAGTACAATGTCAGCGCTATTATTGGCTCGCTGGGCAGCGGTACAGTCATGCAGCACAAGAACTGAAGCATTAGCCAGCCTGAAGTGAACCAGATCAGGTGTCCTCAAACATTATTGCAGAACTGCATTATATTGCAGACTGTGACGTGAAACCCTTATTACTAACAGTGTCAACCACTTATTATATGAGGTGAACAATGAAGTAAATGCACAAGATAAATAATTAGATGTCAAGCTTCATTGTTGACATTGAAAACGATTAAAAACTATTACTATTCCTTACTATTCCTTTTTTACTTATGGCTTTCAACCACATACCACACAAAATAGCTTGGAAGACAAAGGAGTTTCTTAGTAGCAACCCATTTATAAGCAGCTGCTACGTCTGAGTCAGATCATATTATCTTTATCAGATGCCACAAAATTGAAGATGTTCATGTTGCTGAGGGTCACAGTTCATTCTTAAAGTCAGACAGACAGAGACAGTAGTTGAGAAACTGTTTTCAAAAAAGTTTTTAAAAAAGTAAAATGTAACTGCAAGCCCCAGAGCAGCTACTAAATGGAGCTCATGGTGAGATTGTTATCTCAATTGTATAATAGCTGCTACAGTATTCTATAATATCCAAGATCATTCCCACCTATCTAAAACCATGGCGGACTGTTCTTCCTCATTTTTGGTCAAAGACCACCTGAAGGTCCCCTGACCGCACATTGAAAAGCACTGCAGGAGATTGCTCCAATGTAGCCTTTTGCCATCTCAGACTACATCACTTGACAAAATAATTAACCTGCAAAAACGTGCACAAGCAGTCACATACACACTCTTTAGTGCCCTAAATGATGAAACATTTAGTGTACACACACACACACAGCACTGCGTTTCCTGTAAAGCCAAACTGCAGCAGCCCTGACCCTGACTGCAGGATGTAATGCATTGAGAGATGCTGCACATGTTGAATACCATGTACTGAAGTTGGGCGACCTCCAGACATTCCATTAATCACTAATTACTGGCATCCAATTGTGAGGCTTTTAGCTGCTAATAGTAAGACTAATACGATGAAACCGAATGCACTGGAGGTAAGCCAACTGCGTCCAGTATTGTGACCACGCAGGACCGAGGAGCACACAGCACCACCATGCAGATGCGTGTCTCACTGGGAGAAGAGGGCTCTGGGGCTGTAGTTGAGAAACACATGGGACTTGGACACTCCAACATCCATCTTGGAAGAATCGTGACAATAAAACACAAATCTTCTCCAGTCCCGGTTTTGTTTTTGTCCTTACATCCAAGTTCAAGGCTACTGGCAGACAGGTGAAAGGGAAAAAAAGTGTTTTAGCATTTCAAGTCACTACATGACAGCAATTGCACTTTGATGTCTCCGATACGGCTGCTGTGAAGAGCATGTAATCAGAAATAATTAGAAATCTAATACAACACCTCACTGTGGGAACAATACACAACATAAGGCAGCTCTGCAGGCTGACTGATCATTGCTGAGAATTCTGTTCGAGTGAATCCTGTCGGCACCACACTGAACCGACACTCTATTTTTAAAAAACACACAATTTAACGTGGCATTTCTTTTCGAAAAGTATACAAATAAACATGGTGTAAAGCTCTTCTGTATTTGCTCAGAAGTTTAGATCATTGTGGTGTTTATTAAATTTGTTAATTAGTAGTAGGTTGCACCAACAACATAATGCAAATGTATTTGCAGCTGTTGTGCCAAAAAGTGATTTTCTGGCAAAAACCGCCTGCCTCCTCTGTGTCCTCCTGTGATGGCCACAGCCACACAATAAAAAGCCAGTGATGTTTCAGGGTGTGGTTTCTAGTTCCCTCCTGCTGTCAGCCTGTTCTGCTCACCTGTGACTCATCCACTAATCAAACACCTGCAGCAGATACACCCTCCTGGCTCTTCATTCTGGGGAACAGATTGTTCAGTTAAACCGTGTAGTCAGTTTGTTTGGTTTGCATTTTTGCTGCTGTTTTGTTAGGATAATTATATTTCATTGACTCCTTTGTAGGCCTAGAAATCAATTCAGAAATTAATTTTAAATTGCATTATTTTGCAACTTTTTTCATGAATAAAGTCCAATTTAACTCGTGGTTTCCTTTTGCCTCACTGTTTGGTCCCTGACATCTCTATTATAACTAATAATGGAGGACTAATAATAATAATAACTATTGTTTCTATTACTATTATTATTACTAATCCAGTAGCTTGTACAGGTTGAAACAGCTTCAGTACAGCTCATGATGTTGTTTCCTGTGTGCCACAATGTAACTGCAGCTCCCACGTTGTGTAAAATGCTCTGAGTGCACCACAATGACTTGATTTCATTCATGAGGATTATATTAGAAAAACTGTATCCCATAGGATCATTTCTTTATTTTCAATACAAACACTGAACCACATACAATCTAAACATCCGAGACAGCATTGTGTATTGTCCATAATAATCGTAAATGTCATGTCTGATAACTCTAGGGTAATTGGTGATTCTAAATTGTGTGTAGGTGTGAATGTGAGTGTGCTTATTTGTCTGTCTCTAAGGCCCCGTTTACATGTAACAAAAATGGTGATATTTCAATGCTCTTGGGCATTTGGTTTACACGTTAACAAAGCCACAAGTCACCGAAAACGGTCATATCTGAAAACTCCGGACAAAGTGGAGATTTGGAAAAACTCTGGCTTTACATTTGCATGTAGACAAGAGGAGACGGAGTCTGACATCACAGTATGCGACACAAGCATCATCAGCGTCATATGTGTGCAACTCATGTTTGCAGTTTGGCTGTGTCCATATACTTGGACTGACATGCTTCCCAGTCAATGTTTTCAAGAATTTTACTTGTTTTGTACTCTAACACCACATTTAGGAGTAGCTCCACTTCTCTGTCGGTCCAAACAAACGACCTTCGCGCAATTATCGTTGAAGTAACAAGAAGTTTACGTAGTTGTGTTTTTTCCAGATTCTGATTGGTGAGCATGGCTTTATGCTTCTCGTTACACTGCCACCTATAGGCTTGGCAGCTCATAGCAGCTCTTAACGTTGTGTTTATGCAGGTTTGTGTAAACAAAGATTTTTTTTGAAAAGGATTTGGTGTGAATAATGTCATTTTTGAAAACGTAGATCTATTTTTGTGAATACCCGACTATGTGTAAACGTGGCCTCAGTGTAGCCCTGTGATAGACTGGTTCCCTGTCCAGGTGAACCTGCCTTCACCCTGAGTCAGCTGGGATAGACTTCAGCCCCCCAAGACCCTAGTGAGGATTAAGGTGCACAGATAATGGATGGATTATTATTCACAACAGACATTCCAGTTCCATGAACACTGTGCTGGCCTCTCTGCACTGGCTACCTGTTCAGGCTACAGCAGACTTTAAGGTGCTACTGCTGATGTTTAAATTGTAAATGGAATTGCCCCATCATATCTGTTGAATTTGGTGAACCCATATGTTCCCACTCATGTTCTGCGCTCCCAAGGGGACTGGGCTTCTAGGTGTCCCAAAGGTCCAGAGAAAGGTGGGTGGCTTTTTCTTTCAGTGCACCAACACTGTGGAACAGTGTACCTGTTGAACGTATTAAAAACAAAGCTGAAGACCCACCTGTTATTGTTATGAACGAGGCTTAAATTGTTTGTTACTGATGTCCCTTTTTTTGTTTCAGTATGTTTGCATATGTTTGTGGATTTTTTACGTTTTCATTGTCAAGTTGTATTTATCTTTATGTCCAGCACTTTGACTGAAAACACTTAAAATACATTTATTATTAATATTATAATTATTAGTAACACACACCGGACTGTCCCCACAGACACACCGGGCTGTCTCTGCAGACACACACTGGATTGTCCCTGTAGACACACACCGGACTGTCTCTGCAGACACACACTGGATTGTCCCTGCAGACACACACCGGACTGTTCCTACAGACACACCGGACTGTCCCTGCAGACACACCGGACTGTTCCTACAGACACACCGGCTGTCCCTGCAGACACACCGGACTGTCTCTGCAGACACACACCGGACTGTTCCTACAGACACACCGGGCTGTCCCTGCGGACACACACCGGGCTGTCCCTGCGGACACACACCGGACTGTCCCTGCAGACACACCGGGCTGTCTCTGCGGACTCAGCTCTGTCTGGTCCGGACGCAGCTTTAACCGGAAGCGCGAAATGAGTTTTTGACAGACACGCTGTATTTTAGAGCTACTCAGGTGGCTGTAAAGTATTTAAGCCGAACTGAAACTAAACCGAATGACAGAGTGTTTCTGCTCCTACGAGTCTCCAGTCACGTCACATACAGACGACATAATTCAACAGAAGAGATTCAAACGGTGCTCATCTGACGGGGATGAAACCAGCTAGCCAGCTCGCTAGCTAGCTAACTAACCTGCCTCTGTCCTTGTGTCCTCCTGCCACATGTGGACCCAGACGTTACTGACAACACGCCGCCAGACACAATAAACTCGAAGTGTTCAGACTATATTTATTATTTGTGATGAGCTGTTGAAACGACCGCGAACTCCTCCTCTGACCTAGCCAAACAAGCTAGCATGAGCTAAGCTAGCTGCCGTTCATACATGCAGGCCACTCAGCATTCCCAGGTAGCACACCTGGACTACAAGCCTTTGTATGTTTTCAAGGTGTAACGAGGTTCAAAATTAATGGTAAACACATATTAGAATAAATGACACTTACAGAGTCCGACTTTCTTCTGGCTCGACCCTGACTGCAACAACCGTCAAGCTGCCGGAGGAAACGTCAGTCCACCGACATGTGTTGAACAGGTCCCTGTTAAAACGCTCTCCAGTTGGGACACTGAGAGGGCAGCAGGAGGGCGACTGACATCCAGCACACAGTCTGTGGGGGAATTTAATACCTTGAAACGCAGTTACAAGTGATTAAATAGCATTAAGTACAAGGTTTTAATGTGTACACTCATACGGAAGTGTGCCTATTCATTGCATTTAACTTGACACTTCAGTCACGACATCCTCTGTGGTCCTACATCACTTCATTCAGGAGGCTCGTCCTCTGCGGCTGCTGCCTCCAGACAGCCTCATTATCTCCATTTATAAATCAGTGGGTGTTTGGATCAGCAACTTCATTTTGATCTATCAAAAAAACTGATAGACAGTAATAATTCAGTAGTAAAGCGAGGTTTGTTGGACTAACAGACGATGTGCAATATGCATCAAAACAAAATTAGACAGGTGCAAACACCCCAACAGAAAAAAATCATATCAAAATTTAGTAGAGCTCCTTTAGCCAAAAAAATAAAAATAAAAATAAAACCAGCTTCTAGAAACTTCCTATAGCCTGTAATAAGTGTCAGGACTCTGGATGGAGGTGTTTTGGGCCATTCCTCATTACAAAACATCTCCAGTTCAGTTAAGTTTGATGGTTGCACAGCATGGACAGCCTGCTTCAAATAATCCCACAGATTTTCAAAGATATTCAGGTCTGGGGACTGGGATGGACATCCTAGAACATTGTACTTGCTCCTTTGCATGAATGCCAGATTAGATTTTGAGCAGCTCCGGCATAACTTCAATTTTGTAACTGATTGTTGAACGTTATTCTCAAGAATTTGCTGATATTGAGTGGAATCCATGTAACCCTCAACTTTAACAAGATCCCCAGTACCAGGACTGGCCACGCAGCCCCACAGCATGATGGATCCTCCACCAAATTTTATTGTGGGTTACAAGTGTTTTTCTTGGAATGCTGTGTTCTTTCGCCACCATGCATAACGGCCCTTGTTATGACTAAATAACTCAATCTTTGTTTCATCAGTCCACAGCACCTTATTCCAAAATGAAGCTAGCTTGTCCAAATGTGCTTTTGCATACCTCAAGTGATTCTGTTTGTGGCATGTGTGCAGAAAAGGCTTCTTCTGCATCACTCTCCCGTACAGCTTCTCCTCGTGCAAAGTGCCCTGAATTGTTGAGCAATGCACAGTGACACCATCTGCAGCAAGATGATGTTGTAGTTCCTTGGTGGTGGTCTGTGGGCTATCTTTGACCATTCTCACCATCCTTCGCCTTTGCCTTTTTCTTGGCCTGCCACTTCTGGCCTTAACAAGAATTGTGTTTGCAGTCTTCCATTTCCTCACTATGTTCCTCACAGTGGAAACTGACAGCTGAAATCTCTGAGATAGCTTTTTGTAGCCTTCCCCTAAACCATGATGTTGAACAATCTTTTCTTTCAGGTCATTTGCGAGTTGTTTTGAGGCCCCCCATGTTGCCACTCTTCACTGGAGATTCAAAGAGAAACACAACATGCAATCGGCCACCGAAACCTTTTCTCGTTTGTGAAGTTCAAGACTTGATGAGCTCACCAAGCCAATTTTGTCTTTCAATTAATCAGTACTAAGTAGTTACAGGTATTCAAATCAACAAAATGACAAGGGTCCCCAAATGTTTGCACCTGTCTAATTTTGTTTTGATGCATATTGCACATCTTCTGCTTGTCCAGTAAACCTAGTTTCACTACTGAAATATTACTGTCCATCAGTTTTTTGATAGATCAAAATTAAGTTGCTGATCCAAACAGCCATCCATCCATCCATCATCTATACACCACTTAATCCTCACTTGGGTCATGGGGGGCTGGAGCCGATCCCAGCTGACTTAGGGCGAAGGTAGGGGACACATTGGACAGGCTGCCAGTCTTTCCCAGGGCCACACTTAGAGACAGACAAAGATCCCGGGTGTCCTGACCGGGACGCAAACTGGCGACCTTCTAGCTGCGAGGCAGCGGTGCTAACCACTGATCCACCTTGCAGTCCTCCAAACAACCAGTGATTTATAAATGGAAATAATGGAAATTGTCAGGGGTGCCCAAACTTTTTCACATCTATCTATCTATGTAGTAATCCAGTTGACCAGACACCTAGAGCAGCTCCTTGTTTTCTATCTGTGTATGTTCCGTGTCTATGTTTTCTCAGCCGGACACCAAACATTTGTGTCCAGCTGCCTTTTTTTTCTCTTTTTATCGGAATTTTGAAATTTCAACTTTCACCAGTGCATCCCTCATTAGACCACTGGGAATGTTCTCGGCTGTTTTTACTGCTGTTTTGGATTTTTGTGGAGTTTATATATCGGAGAACTACAGTGAACTCAATCATCTACAGCAGAGACTTTCTGCTGCATTTCGCAGTAGTTAACCACATGCAAGAATATAGGACTGCCTCAATTCCTGCATTTATGTAAACGTGGTTAAATAAGGACAGTAATGACATGCTGCACATTGATGGCCTCCCCCTTAAGACATAACAGAGACACTGAGCACACTGGAAAACACCACAGTGTTGGCGCATCTCTATGGAAACACACACTGGTGCTCAACGTGGAGCTGTGTCTCCAACACTGAGGAGAGCCTCAGAAAATGTCAGCAGCGGCAGCATCTACTGAGGAAGCTCAACACTTTTGCTGTCCGCAGGAACGTCCTCAGGACTTGTTACCTTTCCTTCACTGGTAGTGTCATTACAGCCTCTACCACCTGCTGGTTCCACTCCATCAGCCTGGAAAACAGGACACGCCTGCAGGCCACTTTCAAGGTCTGCTCTAAGATCACTGGACTCCCAGGCAGGTTCACCTGGACAGGTAGCCAGTCTATCACAGGGCTATACTTCGAGATAGACAACCAAACACACTCACATTCTCCCCTACGGAGAATTTGGAATCACCAATTAACCTCAGCATGTTTCTGGACTGTGGGAGGAAGCCGGAGAACCTGGAGAGAGCCCACGTTGCACGGAGAGAACATGGAGACTCCACACAGAAAGATCCCAGGCATCCTAGTGGGACAAACTGGGGATCTTCTAGCTGTGAGGCAACGGAGTTAACCACCGATCCACTTTGCAGCTCCACCAGTAAAAGTCCTGCCTGAAAAATCCTACTTCAGTAAAAGAATTGGCAGAATGTTGTTAAAGAGTTGAATTGATATTTTTCTACAATTCTACAATTTCATTTAGCAGACGCTTTTATCCAAAGCGACATACATCTGAGAGCAGATACAACACAAGCAAGGATCTAGTCAGGAGAAAACAATCTAGATAAGTGCCATAGAGTGTAATAGGGCGTTGATGCCAATAGCAGGCTGTGTGGGAAGTAATAGGATTTTTTTGTTTAATGCTTGTTTTCGGGCAGTCAAGTGCAAAGGTGTTCAGTGAAGAGCTGGGTCTTTAGTCTTTTCTTAAGACTGAGAGGGAGTCAGCAGATTGAACAGAGTTTGGTAACTCGTTCCACAGAGGGGAAGAGTCTAGCTATCGACCTCAGTTTTTGTTGGTCGAGCATAATGAGCGAGAGGGAGTGTAGATCTGAATGAGAGAGTTCAGGTAGGAGGGAGCTGTTCCCGTTGTGGTTTTGTAAGCAAGTGTCAGGGTTTTAAATTTGATGCGGGCAGCAACTGGAAGCCATTTTTATTTTTTAAGGTCTTGCTTTGGTCTATTATTATAAATATGATTTGATTAGGAGTAATGAAGAACCAGCTGCTGCAGGTTGAGCTACTTTAAACTACTTTAAACTCAGTTTTATATGCAAGGACAGCAGATAACTCTGATACAACATCATGAATGGAAGAGGAAAGAAGAAACTTAAGACCTGACACAGATTGGCTTCATTTTTTTCTCTATTCTTTGATTTTTTGCTGAGATATTGGATCACTATTTGGGTAATACCTTCTAGGCATCATACAGACACACTGTTCTTTGCAAGCACGTGAAAGTGTTGGAAAACACAGGTTTAAAACAGCTGTCAGGTAAATGTAGTGGCGTAGAAAGTACGATGTCTCACTCTGAAAGGTAATGAAGTAGAAGAAGAAAGTAGAAAATTACTTAATTCTTCAAGCACAAGTACCTTAAAGTTGTACTAAAGTACAGCAGTTGAGTAAATGCACTTAATTTCCAGAATTATTTTTCTGGCACAATACTTGTATAAATAAAAGAGCATATTTATTAACATGACAATCAATACACAAAACTGTCAAAAGTCCTGAACATACAGACTTTAAAAAGTACAAAATTTCCATTTGTTTGTCGTGTGAACAACTACACCATTGTCCATGAGCCCACACCCTGAACCTGCAAACCAAGCGTGTGCGTGACAGTAACTGAACCAGAGGCCTGCTGACACACAGTATGAAGTCCATGCTGACTGAGTTCATTTGTGCTGTGAACCGAACAGTAGAACTATAGAGAATGTGTACATTGATCAAGACAGAGCATTCACAGGATCGTATTCATGCAGCATAGTCTATACATTTGTCATGATAGAAAAGAGCAAAGTATAAAACAGGGCAATCCAAACAAAATGCAATCGTGTATATTTTCTTGTTGCATTGTATTGTTTGTCTTAAATCCATTCTCAGTAGTTTCATGCCGACTACTTTGTCCATCCACAAGTGATCACTACTACTTTAGTGCCATACAACCAGTAAATTAGACTGTGCTTTTGCACATCATTACTTTGACCCACTCACATACACCCCCACCTTAAATGGAACCTGAAGTAGCCTTTTTAGCTATGGAATAACTACAGACAGGCACATGTGTAAAAAGAAAGCACAGGTTGAGCAGGGCTGCAGCCAGGATTTTAGATGCTGAGGTCATAAATCAAGCCCCCACTGCTGACACACAAAAAAATACATAAATAAATGTGTTTATATTTAGTTTTAAAGCCTTCTCCACATCATGAGAAACAGATGGGGAAATGCTGATTTCCTTTTATTTATTTATTGTTGGCCTAAAAGCAGTCAGATTTAAACACACTTACTGTGAAGTCAGCATGTAAAGTATCTCCCAAGAGTCAGTGTTTAACTACAGAATAAAAGGATTAACAAAACGTACAAAAACAGAATGAAAATGATAAAACCTCAAAATTCCCAGATAAATGACAAGACCTCAGCGTCATCAATGGTAGCTACAGCCCTGATGTGAAACCCCAGATGCCATGTTTGATGCAGTCTTAGATTAGGAGACACCACAAGTGGACAGGAAATAAGGCTGGATTACCAACACGACTCACAACTTTTGGGGCAACTGTTTGTGTTCATCTGACTGACTGCAAATCGGTTTAGAAATAGTGGATAAATCCTCTGTCACAATTGCTTCTTACAGTGAAGAATATTTGAAAAATATATGAATACCTGTGACATGTAATATGTAAATGTTAAGGATGAAAAAAGAAAATATTTCATTTTTATATATATGGGTGTAATACATCTTCCTGAAAATAATTTGTGAAATTGATTACTTCGGGTCTCTAGGCCTCCAAGCAGGGTAGTGTGGCCCTGACAAGAAAGACAGAATGACTTTCCTTGTCCTGATGTGAAAAAGTAGGTATTTAGTTCTGAAATAGTGCACTGCCAGTGTACAGCTGCAATCTTTAAAAAAAGCATTCATCTGCAATAATGACAGCACAACACACAAGGCTGGTCTGACTGATCATCAATGATACAGACATCTGCTGCTGCACACAAACCACATTAATCAACAGGTCTGACAGTAAATGTAGAGATAGCCACAGATTAGCTGGAAAACTCAAAGAGGTTTATGAGTGACACCTCTAGGATAGGTTGGTCAGCCAAGCAGGTCAAATATGAAATCTGGGGTAATCTTAACAAATCTGTTGAAGAACTCGACTCAATCATTCAATCTTTTCTACTTGAAACAGTATCCTGAGCTCCTATCTGTTGAGATTTAGACAGATGAAAGAAGCACAAAGGCTAAGAAGGAAGGCAACTGAATGATATAAAGCACCTTTCAGAAGATCCTGTTATGTTAGCAAACCAGAAGGAGGTTTCTTCCTAGGAGATGAGTAAGCCCAACACTTGGGAAAGGACTTGCTAAGACGACTGGAGATGCGTGCGTACAAAATGATCCAATTTAATTCTTCGTTCCTTATTGTTTTGCTGTAGGTCTGACTCAGGCTTAGCTCAGGAATTGAGTTATAACAAAGAGCATTTATTGTAAAATAAAATATTGAGCTTGGTCTGACAGGCTACCATACTGAAGAGTAAAGTGTGGCTTGGGGTGAATTACAGAAAGGAACAGAAAGAGCGCTCAGAAAAGCTTCTGTCACATTTTTTTCAGAGGTAGTTTTAACACCCTGTCCTGTGTTACATATGGAACCACAATATGTGCAACGTTAGATGAAAAGAGAGAACATTAGCAAATAAAAAATGTCCTGTTTATTGCCTAACATTACCTGTCATACCTTTCGGCCACCTTCCTATCTTACATCAGCAAGCTGAACAACTGCTACCAGATTTCGAGTCCTGTTAGGTAGAGCAAGTAACTGTCAGTCAGCCAACTATTTATTTCTGAGGAACATCTTTATGATCAACAGCGAAGGTAATGCTGACTTAGCTAATGTGAATGGCTGCTGTTTCTTCATTTTGATACTGAGTAATGAACCCTGCCGAGCAAGTCAGGAAGCATATGCAGCCTTTTTAAGCTCGTGGAAAACAAAGACATGCTAGACACTCTAGCTAAAAGGAGCTAATCGACTCAATGTGATAGGCTGCAAGTTCAAGCGAAGCAGGGTGCCATCATTAAAAGACATTTTAACTCTGTTATTATGAAAATGTCAAAGCTATTTTCAGATGTCTAACAGTAAGACAGTTTAAGTGCTTCTTAAGCTGTTTCACAAATGAATGCTGTATCTACACATATTTCAGGATTATTGCACACTTTGGGGTTCCATAGTTACACAGTGCCTTTTTCTTTTCAGCCCTATGTGTTTCCCTTTAAAGAAGACACATTGACATTATGTTTAAATGAGTCAACGTTGGACTGGTTAGATTATATGTCACAATTCAATCATGTCTTTGGATGAAATGAAAATTAACTTCACATCAAAATAAGTTGAAAGTGAAGCAGTATTTTGTGGACTGTTTGGTACCTGGGGCAATCCTGGAGATGAGAGAAACCATGCACAATTTTCTCAGTGGTGAAGAACTGCATTGACGAGTGAGGAAGCAATCAATCTCTTTAGAAACATTCCTCATGCCTGTAAAACTGAAACCAGTCAACAAGTAGTTGCCTATTTTGGCTCTTTTTCTATTCAGTGGAAATGAATGCTTTGGAATCTTCCTTTTCCCCGCCCTTCACATAACTGATGGACAGCTTTAAGAAAATACACCCTGGTGCGTAAACACGAGCCCGCACTGGAACATCTGCTGGACATTTGCTCCGTCTCATAGTTACAGCGCAGGAGGGCTGAGGTGGTGACAGTTGGTACGACAGCGTGTGCACCCAGCCCTTTCACGGTTTCCTGAAGGGCCCCGACTAGTTCCCAGTATTGCCAAGACACCAACTTCCTTAGAGGGAATTCCTCAGAACGGAGAGTTCATCCCAAGCTTTGTTTCAAACTGCAGCTTCTGTCTCTTCTGGTAACGAACTCGCACGCTGTAATGAAAAGGATAAAATAAGAGCTCATGATTAAAACAGAGATGCAGTCTTCTGGGTTTTTCCAGCTTCACAATACGTCCCTGCTCTGCAGAAGATGAGAGAAAATCAAGGACTGATCTGACCTGTAAATAATCCCACATTGCTCCCAGCTGCTTTCACTGCAATATCTGCTTGTGCCTCTCTCTATCATTTGCCCAGCATTGGCATGCTCATGGGTTATGTCCATTTAAAATATTCCTCTCTTTCATCACTACTAGTCCATCCAGAACAGCTTTCTTTGTTTCATACCGAATTTCGTGCAGCTTCACCACTTCATTGACCACCATCACCAGTAAAGGGGACAGAGAGACCAGCAGCCAGGCTTCCAGCGGGATGTTTCCCAGGGTAAAGTTCAGGAGACTGTCCTGATTGCGCCATAACTGAAAATCCACGGTGGCCTGTACAATCTGGCTGAGCAGTCTGGTGAGAACAGAGTAAGAGTTAACAGTAACAAACAACAGGAAAGCTCCAACAGTAAGGCAGTTAACTTTAGAATAAACTGGGGATGTCACGATACCAGAATCTGATCGTCAGTGCCCATGCCAATGAAATTTTATGAGTCGCTATACCACAACATCAGATAAAACAATGCAAGGTTTGTCCTTGCTCAGAGTCTGCGTTTGGAGGGGACGATGCGCGGCAGTATAATCGGAGAAAAGAGTGACACAAAATGTGCACAGGAAATGACAGACTTATAGCAGAAGTCTGCATACGTCAAGTCAGACTACAGTGGCATCAGCATTTCTACTGCAGTGCCCAGCTGTCTGATACATGGAAAAAATGCAAATAATAAAATGTCATGGAGTATTAAATACATGACAAAATATAAGCATTACAAAAAACGTGGCATATAGCCTTCAAAAATCCATCCATCCATCATCTATACACCGCTTAATCCTCATTAGGGTCACGGGGGGGCTGGAGTCTATCCCAGCCGACTTAGGGCGAAGGCAGGGGACACCCTGGACAGGTCGCCAGTCTATCACAGGGCTACATTTAGAGACAGACAACCAAGCACACTCACATTCACACCTACGGACAATTTAGAATCACCAATTAACCTCGGCATGTTTTTGGACTGTGTGGGAGGAAGCTGGAGAACCCGGAGAGAACCCATGCTGCACGGGGAGAACATGCAAACTCCACGCAGAAAGATCCCGGTGTCCCCACCGGGACGCGAACCGGCAACCTTCTTGCTGCGAGGCAACAGTGCTACCAACTGCGCCACCCTGCAGCCCAAAAATATATATTTTAATTCAAATATAAAATATTTAAAATAAGCATATTCAGGACTGCAAAAAAAGACAGAAGGGGGACTTTGCTAGATCACAGAGGCTCCCATAGGAATGACTGGATCTCTGGCAAATGTACACTATGAAACCACACTATCAAAGTACAATTAAGTACGATAACATACTATGCATCCTTTGATCAGTGGATTAAATCTGTCACAGAAGTGCTAAATAAACCTGTTGTAGGTACAATATCTACAGCAAGACTGCCGTTATCCATCAAGTGTAAACACTGCCTCAGCCTATGAGTGCAGACCATTTAAACAGCTGCGTCTTTCTGTTTGGGAAGCAGCTGCTAACAGCTGCGAGGCATCTATGTTGATTTCAATGATATCAGAGATAAAGACAGGTGAACAGTAAATCTGTAGAGCATACAAAAGACCAACCGATAGTATCTATCCAAAGGACGTGACAACTTACACCACAGGTACAGTGAGACACCACCAGGTATTGCTGAACGGGCTCTTTCTCCACAGAGGCTGGGAACGGTGGACATAGCTGAGAGAGATCACCACTGAAACGAGACAAAACAATGACAGGCTTGATTTTCAGAACAAAGCATGGGAATCTGATTTCTCTTTATGCTGAACAAGTGCCCACCTGTGTGTAAGACGAGGAACCCTGCCATGACCTTCTGAGTGAGCAGCAGGCCATTAGAAAGCTCATTAAACCATTGAAGAGCCTCATCTGAAGAACTGCATTCACACAGAAGAAGTATTAATGAAACATGAAATCTGGCTTTTCCCCTCTATTTCTCTTATCAGTGAGAGCACTATCCTGCTGTCATTTTGCCAACAACATCCTGGTCAAACTAACAGTGATAGGTTGCAATTACTGTCCCAAATAACCCTATGAATGGACCAGCTGGTGGACTGTTGCAGGCAGAGCTCGTTATACCTGGTTGTAAATATGCAGCTACAGGTGACAGTGGTGTTGTCAGTGAAGGTCAAGTTAGTGCCTTGGGGGCAGACGGCGTGGAGGGTGAACCCAAAGGCCAACAGGTAGGCACACACAGTCACACCAAACTTTAGCAGGAAACAGCCAAGGAAGTAGTTCTGAGTCTGGTCAAAGACAGCAACATGAGAACAGTCAGGCTCATCAAAACTAGAGGCAGTTTTTGTCAAAATTTTAAAAAAGATGCAGTGATGACACAAACTTATTATTTACTTACTACCAATGACATTGTTGTACTGTGCATTCAGATGCTTCCTAAGTACACCTCCTGTGCAATATCACGTAAGTATCAAATGACTGAAAATTCAAACACCTCAGTAATTGCAGTACTTCTAAACTGACAAGTGTTTCCTCTTTAAAAAACAAATTCTTTTGAAAATACAGGCCCCACATTAGAAACTCAGTGCAGCAACGGTGAATGGACCAGGGATCACTAAAGTTAACTAAGTACACTTGTGATTTCCAACTAGTCTAAATGAATGAACATGGTTATAAAATGATAGCAGAACCTTCTCAGTTTTGGACCTATGAGCTGTGTCTATATGCATGTCTGCATCAGGACTCCACATGGAATAGAACCAACCAATCGAATTGTGAAACTTCACAAATCAGGTAAAACAAAACAAACAAAAAAAAACACAAAAAGAGTTTTCTAACACTACGTAGTGTGTGCAGTGTATTACACTGTTTAAATAAGTATATTTCGTATGATATGATCCTGTAACAGCTCCTGCAATTCTGAGACCCTACCTTCCTTGGGATTGCATCCAGGTTCTTCCCTGTGGCAACTGTCATAACAGAACAGTCAGGTGGCTTCCCCAACAGTGACACACTGCCAACACAATACAAACCCACATACAATCAAACTCCAAAATGGACAGTATGAATTTCTGCATTTCCAGTTTGTACAGTATGTGTGTACCTTAGTAGAGGGCAGCTGAAGCAGGACACCCAAAGGATGTCAGTGGTATTCATGGGAGGAGGAAGCTGAGCTAGACAGGCTAAGAACTGCACACAAACATCAGAGGCACTTTAGTTAGTTAATGTCATGAATGTCTCTATGTTGCAGAAAATAGGACAGCGTAATAGGCAACGTCTGAGATGTGTCCGAAAAGTTTCAGGACTGGTGTCACGAAAGATATATTTCAAACCCAAACTACAAACTAGGAGTTTTCCCCTTTAGACGATCAATCAACACGTCTACAAAGAGATCCTGCGGCATTTGCTTCGTGCAGTGCGCAAGAAGAGGTGAGAGTTGTGGCAGGACAAGTGGTGGCTGCTTCACCATGACAACGCGCCTACTCACAATGCCCTGAGCATCCGACAGTTCCTGGCTGAGAAAAACATCGTCGTGCTGGAGCAACCTCCCTACTCACTGACCTGGCTCCATGGGATTTTTTCCTCTTGGGGGTCATCAAGGGGACCCTTTTGAAAACGTGGATGACATCAACATGGCTGTGATGACGGAGCTGAGGAGGATCCTGGAAGAATCCTTCTAAGAGTGCATGGCGGCGTGGCAGAGAAGGCTAGAAAAGTGCCTTAGACTCCAGAGGGATTACTTCGAAGGGGAAAACTTGTAGTTGGGTTTGTAGTTTGGATTTGAAAAACAGTCGTGACTCAATTATCCAACACTAAATGTAAAACCTTTTTTCATGTCGGATAGCAAGGCTTCGGTTTGTCAAAACAGAGGTCGAGATACAAAGAGGGATTGATGCTTGAAGGGCAATTTGTTAATATTTATTGTTTATAGTTAGCATAATAACTAGTATATTATTAGATCACTACGCATTGCTGATTTCACGCCTGATTGACTGGTGCACTTGTGTACGGGCCGGTCGGTTGACACAGAAGGTAAATACATTCAGACAGCAGGTCGAAGTGCCCCAAATCTGATTTTGTTTTTTTCTCTAATGCGCCTTGTATCTGGTCTTTTCATGACAGTCTGAACAACACAGATCCAATTAATGATGAATATCTGAACCACTTCCATCCCGGGGGTGCGCTCCTATGGGGTGGAAGTGGCCAGAACGCACAGGCAGTACTTGGCTGCTAATGCCAGTTTAGTTAGTGGTCACAGTTCTGTTTCCACCATCGGTGGTGGCGGCAGCGGAGGAGCGGCAGTTACGCTCCATCGCTACCATCTGTGTTTACTTCCGTAAACACTGAGCAGGTTCGCTGTGTGTGAGGTCGTTGTGTCCTCTTCTGCGCATATGGGACACTTTTGGGGTCGTATGAAGTTTACACAGCGAATCACATACGAAATGTGAACGAACGCGCAAAAAAATCGGATTTCACAAAAAATTTTCAAATTGAGCATCAAGTCCTGCAGTCGGATTATTAAGTCAGATAATACGCCGTTATCCTTATTTGTGACATAAAATGTCATGTCAGAGTCGGAATCCAAGGCTGTCGATATGATCAGGCTATTCTTTTCATTTTTCCTAAAAACCTGTTGGATAGCAAGGTTTTCGGATTGTCATGGGTCGGATTTTCAAGTCCCGAATGTATAGCTTTTGTGTCACCAGTCCTGAAACTTCTCTGAAACACCTTGTAGACAGCCATAAATTCAGAGCTTATGAAGTCTCCTTTCTCACCTGGATGATGACCAGACTCNCTTTCATATGAACAGGTGAAACTCACTTTTGCTTTGTTCTGTTCTGAGAAATTGAGTTTTGGTCATGGGTGTGAATACTTTTGCAACCCACTGTAACTAGTATATTGTTAGAGCACTACGCATTGCTGATTTCACGCCTGATTGACTGGTGCACTTGTGTACGGGCCGGTCGGTTGATATCAAAGGTAAATACATTCAGACAGCAGGTCGAAGTGCCCCAAATCTGATTTTGTTTTTTTCTCTAATGCGCCTTGTAACTGGTCTTTTCATGACAGTCTGAACAACACAGATCCAATTAACGATGAATATCCCCCATCCCAGGGGTGCGCTCCGATGGGGTGGAAGTGGTGGGAACGCACAGGCAGTACTTGGCTGCTGATGCCAGTTTAGTTAGCGGTTACAGTTCTGCTTCCACCATCAGTGGTGGCGGCGGCGGCGGGGGAGTGGCAGTTACGCTCCACCGATACCATCTGTGTTTACTTCCGCAAAAACTGAGCAGGTTCGCTGCGTGTGAGGCCGTTGTGTCCTCTTCTGCGCATGTGGGACACTTTTGGGGTCGTATGAAGTTCATACGAAATGCGAACGAACTCGCAAAGAAATCGGCTTTTACAAAAAATTCTGAATTGAGCTTTAAGTCCTGCAGTCGGATTGTTAAGTAAGATAATACGACGTTATCCTTATTTGTGACATAAAATGTCATGTCGGAGTTGGAATCCAAGGCTGTCGATATGATAAGGCTATTCTTTTCATTTTTCCTAAAAACCTGTCGGATAGCAAGGTTTTCGGATTGTCATGGGTTGGATTTTCAAGTCCCGAATGCATAGCTTTTGTATCACCAGTCCTGAAACTTCTCTGAAACACCTTGTAGACAGCCATAAGTTCAGAGCTTATGAAGTTTCCTCTCTCACCTGGATGATGACCAGACTCAGTTGACACTGCAGCAGGAAGAGAAAGCACTTGCGGATTCCGTAGGTTGTGTGTCGTGCCTGGAACACAATCACACAAAGACAGATCAAGAAAAGTAGCGTCTCTCTTGCACTTTGTGTATGAGTGCCTTGTGCACCTAACCTGCTCTATGAGCTTGACTATGCTGACGCTCTCTCCTTGGTGGAAGGTGACAGAGCAGCCCATACTGTTGAGCTGTCCGGACAGTCTCAGAGGAGACAGTCCCTCAGCATCTCCATTAAATCCTCCTCCGGTGGCGTAGCCAAAAGTCTCCCATGAACACTGAGATGGGTACAGAGGGTCCAAAGCAATGCTGTGAACCCAAGAGATTGAAAATTTACATTTGGGCCAATTAGGATTATTCTGTTGTTACTGCCTCTTCAGGAAGTATTCAGATCCCTTCAGTTTTTCCATACTTCCATACATGCATTAAACTTAAAAAACAAAACAAAAACATTGTTATTCATGAAAGTACTCAGAACCTTAATATAGTACCTTGCAGAGGTAGAAATTATTAGGGAAAAAACACCTAAAATAAACAGTAGCTTACGCCCGCATCTTACAGTCGACGAGTCAAAGTGACTGCTGGGATCACCTCACTGACCAAAGCTCCTCTTGCTGGGTTACTCAATTTGGCCAGAATGCCAACTCTAGAGGAAATTTTGGTAGGTTTGTACTTCCATATCACAATGATGGATGCCACTGTGTTCCTGATAACAGCTTTAGAAATGGTTTTACACATATTACCCTAATCTATGCCTCACAACACTTTCATTATGAAGACCTACAGAGAGTATCTTGGACTTGGTTTTTGTCCTGACATGGATTGCCAATTGTGGGACCTTATATAGCTTACAAGTATGAACTTGAATAAGCTGCCCAACACATCCAGCTGTCCACAGGGGCACTCTACTTATGCATAAGAAGTGACTTGAACTCAAGTAAAGAAAACAGAAGACAACTGACCACAATGTGGAGTCTGAATACATTTGTGAATGACAGATTTCAGTTTAGAATTTTAATAACTTAAATCACAACTTTACAAAAAAAAAGCTTTCTCTTTGTCATTAAAATGCAAGTTTTATTTTGGATTAAAATTTTATTCGAAACACAGTAAAGGGTTCAAAAAGTAAAGGAGTCTGAATGCTGTCTGTAGTAGGTGCATATAGAAAATATGAAGCAGTTTGTGTGATTACATTATTATATGATAAGTTAATACTCGGGTGAGTACATCCAAGTTCCAAAAATTCATTTTCTCACCTACCTCTGCTACAATCCAGGCTTACAGATAGTCTTTGTGTACTTAATGCAGGAAAATAGAAGAATACATTAGCATGCCTGAAGTTGTTTTGGTTCGTATTCCAACGCATATAGCTCATGTAAAAACACGAGTCAATACACCACCACCTTTAAAAGTGTTATCTGTGCTTTTTCTTCAGACTGTTGCAACAGGAGATACTAAATATGAATAATATTATAAAAACAACAGCAAATATGAACCATGAATTTAGCGGTGGACAACAGACAGCAACAGCATCATTGTTTCTGTTGCTACTGTTTGAGGAGACACCACTAGAGGCAACTTTTAATAATTCTTTCTCACAACATTAGGGATCAAAATTTGTACTGCTAATGTTTGGTGATAAAAACTAAATTACTATTGAAGTTACAAAACAACACTGGTCAAACCCAAATTATAATTATTGTAATTTACAAATCAAAAACATGTTTAGGGCTTATTATCTGTATACCTGAGGTCACTCTGTACGAACAGGCGACTATTGCGGAAATTAGCAGAGCTTCCCAGACAGCAGGTCACCTCCTTGTTCTCCTGCATGATCTTCATCATCTCACACATGGCTGCCAAGAAAAAAAACACTGTGATTGTCAATTTCACTCCTAAATACAGTTGAAACTAGAACTTTACACACACTGCATAAAAAGACATATAACCTTTTATTCTCACCATCTGACATTAAATCAGACTAAACTTTTCCTGTTTTAGGTCAGTTAGGATTACTGACATGTGCTGAAAGGCTACTCAGAGAGGAAGAAGACCAATTTTTGACTGGTACTGTATGAATTATTGCTTGTTTGTTATTTTTGCTTAGAAGTCTGCTTTACTCCTGAGTGGCAGATAAAGACAGGACATCTTAACTAAAGTATATAAAAAACACATAACAAAAACTCACTGTCAGGGGTGCAGTCAGTGAAGAGTGGCACCAAGAGAGGCACATTATCAATATTCTTCAAATGAGGACGAACCTGGTGGATCCCACGAGGTAACTTGGCCTGGAATACAGCAGGAGGAGCAGCATAACAGGAACCGTAAAAATTCAATGACAACATACAGTCAGAGCCATAAATATTTGGACACTGGCACAATTTTCAACATTTCAGCTCTGTACACCCCCAACAATTGATTTGAAATGAAAAAATCAAGATGTACTTTAAAATGCAGACTTTCAGCTTTAGTTTGAGGGTACAGTCGTGACTCGATAAACCGACCCTTAAAAAAATGCAAAAACCTTGCTATCAGACAGGTTTTTAGGAAAAACGAACAGAACCCATGAAAAATAGCCTTTAACATACCAACAGCCTTGGATTTCGACTTCGACATGACATCTTATGTCACAAATAAGGATAACAGCGTATTATCTGACTTAATCCGACAGATTGGCGACATTCATGCTGCAGGACTTAATGCTTAATTCAGATTTTTTTTGTGAAATCTAATTTTTTGCGAGTTCGTTCACATTTCCAATTAAATGTGACTTACATGTGATCTCCTGTGTGAACTTCATACGACCCAAAAGTGTTCCACATGCACAGAAGAGGACACAACGACCTCACACGCAGCGAGCACGCTCAGTGCTTGCAGAAGTAAACACGGATGGTAACATGGAGCGTATCTTGCCCGCCACTCCCCTGCCGCCGCCACCAATGGTGGAAACAGAACCGTGATCAGTAACTAAACTGGCATCAGCAGTCAGGTACTGCCTGTGCGTTCCGGCCACTTCCACCCTGGAGGAGTGCTCCGACAGGATGGAATTGGCCGTAATGTGCACAATCGCATCGGTCATTTAGACGTGAAATCCAGCGATGCGTAGTGTTCTAACAATACACTAGTTATTATAACAACTATAAACAATAAATATCAACAACAAATTACCCTTCATCAATCCCTCCTTGTATCTCGACGTCCGTCTTGACAATCTGACAGTCTTGCTATCAGACATAGTCATGACTGTATTAACAGTGCCATGAAAACGTACTTGCCCCCTTCTCAAATTCTTTTTTTTTTTTTTCTTTCCAATTTCCCCCACTTAAATGTTTAGGACAATCAAACAAATTTAAACATCAGACAAAGATAACCAAAACAAACACAAAATGCAGTTTTTAAATGATGATTCAATGTTTTAAGGGAAAAAAGCTGCAAACCTACCTGGCCCTGTGTGAGAAAGTAATTGTCCCCCTCGTTAAATCATGAATTAACTGTGGCTAATCACATTTTTTGGAAAGTTGAGTTCAATTTCACTGACCACATCCAAGCCTGTTTACCTCCAGACCTGTTCAATCAAGAAATCACTTAAATAATCACTTTTTTCCGTAGAGATGTCAGGGTGCATATTGGCTTGCTTCATTTTGAGAGTTGACCTCACCAGATTCCAAACGCAAATACCACGCTTAAAAAAACTCTAAACCTTTCATCCGCTCTTTGTAAATGAAATAATGAGGGAATAACACAGTTCCATGTGTTCCATGGCCAGGTGTGGCTGGATTTGAACTCCACTGTGGTGGTGTACAGAACCGAAATGCTGAAAACTATGTCAATGTCCAAATATTTATGGACCTGACTGTATTCATACTAAATTAAATTACTGTAAGTTCCACATAAATATTTATGAGCAGTACAGAAAATGATCTAGTTAAAAGTCCAGACAGAAGCAATACATCATTTTAAAGCAAAAGACTGAAAAATCTGGGTACACACACTTCTTCACATTCTTCCTCCACTGTAGTGAGAGGAGAGCAGTAGCTTCTTTATTTACCCTGTTGCAGTCCTCCAGAAAGCTGGGCACATCGCTGTCTGTGGGCTGGAAACTGGCCAGATCCGAGTGGGCTTCCTCCTCTGGCAGCAGCGGACCTTCTGCTTCATCCCGAGAATCTATGTTAGACAAGAGACAAGAACAACTTCCACATTGTAAAATTTTTCCTAAGAGTTTCGGTAAAAATCAACTAGATTTCTCTTTCTGGTTCTTAAAGACATTTTTCCTCTCATTCAAGAGCGTTCCTTAGTTCGTATCAATTCAAGGTGCAATATGCATGAACGTAAACGTAGATTATGATCACAGCAACAGCTATCTGCTATGTAACATATTTGCATTCATAAACACAACAAAAGCGACTGTTCACACCACACTGGAAAAGTGCAGTTCAGGGTTCAGCCAGGGCCACAAAAATTCCAAAGAATTTGAAGTAGTTTACCAATGTTATTTACCTAATTTTTGTGCACTAGTTTCATTTTAGCTCAGCATGATAGTCCCTTTTGGTAATTTGAGGCTCCACTCTGCTTCTCTGCTGCTACCTTATGTGTCTGTTTCTAGAGTCGGGGCAAAGGCAAGCTATGGATTGACTGGGTTTACTCTTTGACGGACCAGAGCGGACCTGTGTATAGAAGCTGACACAAATGGAGCTGAGCAGATACACGCAGAGAAAATGAGAGACAGGTGAGCTGAAGACAATGTTACTCGAGCTAACAACACGCTACAACCATGTATTTTACAATACAAGCATGGGCTAGTGGTTGTGGATGGATTATTTTTGTGTTGGCGCTTGTGTAAACAACCTTACTGGTTATAAATGAAAGGGAAGGGAGGGGGAAGTGAGGCTGCTGTGCCCATTTGTTTTGCTCTCTGACACATGTTGGTGGTTCTGAATGACAGATAACCTTTAAGACGAGTGCAGCACAGTCATAATTATATCTAAATGACAATTACAACAGTGCAGTTTGAGTTTGCACAGAGTAACACTACCATTCTCTCTTTTTCACTGAGGATGCATCTTCTTTCTTCTTCTTTTGGAGCAATTTTTACTGGAAATGGATAAAGTGAGTTGGGGCTTGGTGCTTCGATTCTGTATCAACATTCAGTTAGTTTGCTACCAAGTGATGCAGAAAAATGAGGAGGAAATCCATGGCAAGATGACAGAAGTGCATTGCATTAAAAGATTAAACCTTCTGTAGACCTTCATGAATAGAAAAAAGGAACTGTTGAATTTAAATGCAAAGTTTCTACTCCTAAATCGAAGGTACAATAACAACCACTCTACAACAATAAAATGAACAATAACCTAAGATTGTACAAGCACAGGTACCTTGGTTCAGGTCTTCGTGCAGTGAGCCCTGGCTGGGGCTGGATGGTGCTCCGTCACAGGGACTGTCTCCGTTTGGAGTCAGAGAGATGTGACAGTTCCAGCCTGTCTCTAAACCCATCTTCTCTGCAAACACCTGTGCAGGCACAAAAACTACACACATCAGCATGAGTTCTTTTAACCAGTATTCCCCACAGACACTTTTCTGTTGGAATACAGTAGCATACTGTATTATACTATACTGTATATAGCAGTATACTGAACTTGACATTGTGTACACATTTTCACATTGCACCTTTTATATTATAATTTATGCATTTTTCTGCTCCAATATGTACTACTGCTGCTGCTGCTGCTAGCATGACAGAAGATTGATTTACAATCAATTCATTTCTTCCTCCAATTTTACCACCAGAACATTTTGTTGTTATACAAATGTACCGCGCAGCAAGACATCAGTTTTTTTTTTACACCATGCCTGAAAAAATGTCAGTTTCTCAATGCGATCACATTTTTTAAGTAGTACTATGTTGTATATGGAATGGGATGTGAGCATTTTAACTACGATACATGGCTCTACTACTAATTCTGTACAAACTATACTAAATTAGCTTTCATCTTTATTACATTCACTACTAAAATGACAGCAATAATTACAAGCAGGTGTGCCTGCTTTTTCACCTACTGTGGCGTAAAATCAACTGCATACTGGGAAATTCACATTAAATAGATAAACTAGCTTTCAAATGTTCATATACGCTTGTATGTGTTCACCTTGCTGCGGAGTTCATCCTCCATGGAAAAGTAAACAAAGCGGATGCAAGCAGTGACCAGGGCATCAATGAGACGGACTGTGTCCAACCTTGCCTGGAACTGGGATGACACCATGCCCATGAAGATCTGCCCGCTCAGGGCCTGAACACAGTCCTCACGCTCTACACCCTCACCTATACCCTCTGCAGGCAGACCAGGGAAACACAGGATGAGAAACAATAAAAGTACTACAGTATTATTGCATTATAACTTTTTATCCCTCTGTTATGAATATGTACCGTCTGAGCTCCAGCTGTTCCTGCATGAGTTGTGTTTAATAGGGGTGGTGGAGGGCAGCTCCACCCCAGAGAAGAGGCAGGGACCTGGGGCCAGCTCCACACACTTTCCATTCAGTTGGCAGGACAGAGATACTTGCATGGGTTTGTAGGCAAAGGCTGAGCAGTAACCTGACAGACAGGCACGCTGGTAGAAGTCCAGAACCTTTTTTCTGTTACACGTGAACAGAATGTTGAAATAAAAAAGGTTTAAATGGAAGAATTTCACCTGTAATGACAGAGGTACTTTGATACTAATGATGTAAAACAAGATAAAAAGGGTTTGATAGATACCTGTCTGAACCTGAGAGGGGGTAGATATCAGTTCCATCCCAGAAGTCAGTGCAGGCCTCCAGGATAAGATCGGCTGAACCATGTGATAACATCTGGACATTATCTACAACAGCGTGAAGAACATTAGTAAGCATCAAAAACAAAAAAATTGTCCTTGAATATTTGGGCAAAGAGAGAAGATAGGGAGATGGGACCACATAGAGCAAAATGCATAAGATAGGTATAATAATGTAGTTAAAAACTGGAAAGGAAGACAAAATAGAAAGGAAAGACAAACTGACGGAATCAGTGTGCCAACTCACTGGAAGAAGAGTCTCGTACGAACAGGGAGATGAGGTGGGAGATGGGAGGCTGGCGTTTGGTGAAATAATGCAGGCGCCGAGAGGTGAACTCCTTGGTTTTCTCTCCCGTTGGTAGCTGGTATAGAGCCAAGTGGTTCTCCTGTTTAAACAGCTCCCTCGCACCCGGAGTGAACCCTGACACAGAGACACACAGACAAACACACAAAAACTGTTAAACCTTCACCTTACTATGTTCAGTCCAGGGAGATGCCTGGTGAAATTCTCTCATTCCAATGTATCGGTATCATCAACACAACAACTTGTGGTCTTACTTTTTCTTAAAACCACGTCAGGAGTAGATCGTTGCTCTCTAGGCTCAGACCTTCGTTTTATTTAAGGACTTTCTTCAGGGCTAGAACTTCGTCTGTATTATAAGCTGTGACATGAGTCAGTCAGGCTTTTGTCTGAAGAAAACTTCGAGGTGGAAATTAAAGTGCCAGGCAAAATAAGATCTGTCTGACTGCTGTCCTCATATGACCTAAAAGTCTAAACTAGGAGGCGAACCAGGCCACTGAATAAAAACAGCAGCTTTAAACCAAAAAGGTATAGAATTGCCATCAGTCCACACTCACCTATGAGCCTGGAGAGCTCACAGAGCCCCCAGGGGACGTATACGGGCAACACCGTGCCATGGCTCTCCTGCAAAGCCAAGTTGGACAGGTGGTCAGAGAAGCGGCAGAGCAGCTGGGTGACGCTGGCATTGCATAGGTTCAGCATGATGTTGAGGCCCAGAGGCTTGAGGGAGGGCAGGTGGCACTGCCAGGAAAGGTCATCGAACTGGATGCTGGCTGGGTTCTGCTGGTCCTGCGAGAGGCTCAGCATCTCCAGGTGGTAGTCACACACAAAGTCCTCAGCCTCTGCTTCTGGGCAGCCCATCGCAAACTCCTGGAGACAAATGACAAACATCACAGCACAGTCTGTGAAGTCAATATCATTTCAAGGGACCTTTAGACTTTATGACAACAATATTTTAAATACATTATTTTAATTTACACTGTGCTTCTTCTAAGTCTGTGTCAGACCCTATCTATTTGAGGTCATCAGAGTGTACAATAAATGTGTGGTAAAACATAGCTGCGACACTTATGTTTTAAAGATGCAGCACTGCCAGGTTTTCCTTTTTGTCAGTCATTTTTTGCTCATTTACCCTCTGCCATGTTGGTTGTTTTTGATTTTCCAAACTGTATTCATAATGTGCTGCTTAGTGTATTCTGCATCATCTTATGTTGTACTCTAATTGCTTTCTATGGAGACATGGCACACAGCAGCAGTCCCATTGTGAGAATTCAAACACAATATTCTGTCTCTGTGTAAAGCAGCATGTCTTTGGTTACCACAGCTCAGGGACTTTGGTATAATATAGATTTTACCACATTTCTATCATGACTGTCAACTTGCATATCAACAACCCAAAACCCCACATTGTAAAGAGGTCTTTAGACAACATTTTCCCATCTTACATCACTACTACATAGGCCTGAGTTGTCTTTCCAGTTCTTACCTGTGTCTGCTCGTCCTCGCCTCCCTCTGTGTCGTGGCTGAAGCTCACATTGGATCCAGAGTGGTGTTTGATGCGAGTGTGTGCAGGCTGGCAGGAGCGCCGAAGTCGGAGTGTGTCAGACGAACGAGCTGTGTCATGTGACGTCTCGCTGGGCTCGGGTCCCTCCCCCAGCTGGGCGGAGGACTCTGCTGGTAGACAGAGCAGAGCCTCTGCCTCCTGAGCCTGTACAGCAGGTACAATAGTCAGGACTGGATGCAACACTGTGAATTATCAGGTGATGAATAACTGAGTTTTAGTTAGCCATGGGCAGTTTCTAGCCAAAAAATGCCAATACATCAAGCTTAGTTGTTTTGCTGTCTTCCCTGAAAATACTCCTTCCAAGCTTTAAAATGACTTAATGTAATTTTGTGGATTCCTAAATACACAAGATGATCCCTGCGTCTATCTCATAGACTGTATAAAAGATGGACGTAGCAACCGGCCCTGAAAAATGAAGCCAACCCGGAAGTGTCAAAAACCTACATCCGCTAGCTGCTGGCTCCAAAAAGCCCTGGCTCCCATAGACTTGAATTGGAAAAGAAGTGATCACAGATCACGAAATACTGCATTCCTACAGCTCAGGATTTTTTTCTTATTAGTTTTCATAGTCAAATTCAGAGATTGGGTGGCCAATCTGAAAATACATCAATACAGAATTTTTAAAAAATCGTCAAAATTTTGCGGGGCAAGGGGCGTGGCTGGCTTGATTGACAGTCGGCAGCGACCATACAGACGAAGCGAGCAGAAGGCGGTAAATGTGGACGGGCAGAGAGGGCCCGCCTCTCAATCCGTCTGACCAATCGCTGCTCCTATGGCTCCGCCCCCCTGACGATTTTTGCATCACGGGCTCCAAAAATCCAAGATGTCAACCAGGAAGTAGCAAAACCCTGGCTTCATTTTCTCACTGCAGAAACCAACGGGTGACGTCATGGTAGCTACGTCCATCTTTTGTACAGTCTATGGTCTATCTCCACCCACCCTCCTTGCTCACCTGTAGAACGAGCACACCAACTCACCTATGACACTGCTCAAACCAGAAAAACTAGTTGTAATGTTGGTGTGATTTAGCTATGCATGTCAGATCAGCCAGAAACCGTTCTAAAGAAAAATAATGATACAGAAAGCGCTGTTGAGCCTAAAAATGACTTAAGAGAACACACACAGATATTTACCTCATCCCTATCATCATCCGTCTCCATTCGGCAGTAGGAGTTGACAGACAGGTCGTCTCTGAGATCATCCTGGCTGTTATGAGGGGGTTCCACTCGTCCACTAAAGAACAGCACAGTCTCCGGACTGGGGTTAGGCCACGACAAGATACCTTGCTTGTCCACACAACATAGGACCTACACATGCAAAGAGGATTAGAGCCTACACACACCAACTAGTATATAAAATGGTTTTTAAGTACATGGCTACAGGTCACATACACTGTATAAAAAGACACAACCTTTTTTTGTCACTGTCTGACATTAAATTACATTTTCTACAGGATTGAGATCAGGGGTTTGTGATGGCCACTCCAAAACACTGACTTTGCTGTCCTGAAACCTCTTTATTACTAATCTGGTAGTATCCTTAGGTTTCATTTGTCTACAACAATTTCTACAATTTATTAATTTAGCAGACGCTTTTATCCAAAGCGACGTACATCTGAGAGCACATACAACACAAGTAGAATCTAGTCAAGAGAAAACAATCTAGATAAGTGCCATAGAACAAATTCAAGTGTGATAATGTTTGAAGACCTATTTCACCCAGGTTTTAACTTCCTGGCTGATGTCCTGAGATGTTGCTTCAATATTTCCACATAATGTTCTGTCCTCATGATGCCATCTGTTTTGTGACGTGCACCAGTCCCTCCTGCAGCAAACCACCCCCACAACATGATTCTGCCACCCCCCTACTTCACAGCTGGGATGGTGTTCTCAAGCGTCCACCTTTTTCCTACAAATGCAACGATGGTCATCGTGGAAGCTGGTAAGACAGTGTCATTATCCACAGTAAAACCAGTCCTGTACCGACATGTGCTGAAAGGCTACTCAGAGAGGAAGATGAAATTACTCCAAAAGAAACATAAAAATAACAGATTACAGTTTGCAAATGCACACAGAGATAAAGACCCTCATTTCTGGAGATATGTCCTGTGGTCTGATGAAACTAAAACTGAACTGTTTGGCCATAATGGCCATTGTTACATCTGGAGGAAAAAGGGGGAAGCTTGCAAGCCTGAGAACAACATCCCAACTTATTATTCTGGCATTTCGCAGATAGAAATAATTTTGGTAATCCTGACCTAAAACAGGAAAAGTTTAGTCTGATTTAATGTCTGACAGTGAAAAAAAATAGACCACTCTTGTTTTCTTCAATTTCCTGTTCATTTCAGTGCCTGCTGGTACAACAAAGGGTGCATTTGTTTGGACAAATATAATAACTATAAAAATAGCTCATAAAAGTTTAATTTAAGAGCTGATATCTAGCCATTTTCCATGATTTTCTTGATGATAACCAAAATCACTTAAGTTCTTGCATCAATAGCTATGCCATTGTGCTGCCAAAAACAGGGCTTTTAGGCATTCCATGTTTTCTTTTCTGTCTGTTTTAGTCACATGATACACACAGGAGTTAGTACTTGATCGCACAATCATTGTTTTTGATGACTGTAGCTGTGCGTCTTGGCATGCTCTCCACCAGCTTCTGACATTGTTCTGCTGTCACAGCAGCCCATTTCTGTTGAACAAATTCTAACAAATTTGCTTTGTTTTTTGGCTTGTGGTTCTCCATTTTGCCTTTGATGATTTTCCACAGATTTTCAATTCAATTTAGATCTGGTGATGAGCAGGCCAAGGCATGGTTCCAATGTTCTGGTTCTCCATCCAGACTTTAACTGACCTTGCCGTGTGGCAAGGGGCATTGTCTTGTTGGAACATCCAAGCATTCGAGGCAGGAAAGAGTTTTCCAGCTGATTGGAAGAAGACTTCATCAGCGAAAGGCTTTCCTCTGCCTTTGGTTGATAAAGGGCTTCTTCTGTGCCCTGTGTGACTTCAGACCAGCTTCAAGAAGTCAGTTTCCAACTGTCCTTGCCGAACAAGTCACATTTCTCGACAGTGCCCACTACTCATTTCTAAGGTCTCTGGAGGTCTGACGACAATTCCTGACACAGGAACAGATGAGTGCACGGTCATCTCGTGGGGTAGAAAGACGTTTCCTGCAGCGACCAGCTAGTGGTTTGGTAGTATTGTATTGTTCAGGTAATATACCTTTAGTGGTAGGAAGGCATTAAAATGAACAAGAAATTGAAGAAAATAAGGGTGGTCTAATTGTTTTTTCCACGCACGCATGCACACACGCTTATCCCATCTACTATAAATAGCAGAAGTACTCAGCAAACACAGATTTTTCCCAAAAAAGTTCAGGTCTACAGTCCTTACAGTGACAGATCCCAGTGTGTGTAAAAGGCTGGAAGTATAGCAGAGTGTCTGAGATTCTCCCTTTAGGACGCCGACCAGGTGTCTCCACACACAGCGCAGCATCTCCTGCATATGTGAACACACACACACACACACACAAACACACACACACACACACATATACTTTTAAGTTGAAGAACTGCTTACTGTTACATAGTGGAAAAAGAATGAAGACATAAAATGAATACATAAAAACATGATTTAAAAGTATGAATCATCCAAGTCAAAAAGAATATTACACAACTATCCACATGGGCAATATGTAAAAAAAACAAAAAAACAAAAAAAAAAACGCTTTCTGTAACAAGGAAGAAGCAAAAACCTGTCTAAAAAGCCCAAGCCAGCTCTACGATTCTAAAGTTACAGTCCTAATGAGCTTTGTGACTGGGCAACAAAGAAAGGACAAAGCTTCTATACTATAAAGCAAGAAGGTGAAGAACAATGCACGTTGCAGTAAGCACATTCATGCAGATTGTATTCTGTTTAGATGGAATCCATGATGGCTTCTTCAGCAGGAGACGAACCAAAAACTATCACAGTGTTTTCAGAGAAACATTCTTCAACGTTCTGATCAAACAAACTGCTCTCCTTGTCTCCTGTCTTTGTTCTGCAGCCTCCAGCTGGCAAAATGACGAACATGATTTCAAAAATAATTGTTTTCAAGGTCAGTTGAACAAAGCCGTTGCAAGGGTTTATGGATGCTACAGTAGCATAGAAACACTTGTGCATGCATGAATCCAGTAATTCACTGTCTGATAGGTGAATCCATCAGTTTTGTTGAGGATGAAATATTTCAACTATCATACTCAATCATGACTATGTGATAGCTTGCAGGTCATATTAGCATTTCAGAGCTTTAATAGCAAGAGATGAGCTGAAAAAGCACACAAACAGCAGTGCTTCTGGGCGTATGTAGAGGGGTGCTTAATGCCTGTACGTATTCCTGGACATTACCATTGTATCTGACAGCATATGTCCAGTGTCAATTCAGCATTAATACAGGTATAAAGTAAATGTGTGGAAGTTGGCTGACTCTTAGTCGCGACCTTTCCCTGTAGCACCACCAGCGGGCTGACATATTTTTTGAAAAAGCTGTTTTGTGGGTCAGATGAGCCTCAAGATTGAGCCTTGAGCGAACGGTCTATATTTCAACCAAATAACTGTAAAACTACTGACATTCCCATCAGCTTCTGCCACACTTTGGGATAATCAACAAGTGCCAGCATGCTAACATGGTAAAATAAGACTGAGCTTATATTAAGGCCTTACCCAACTTCAAATTTTGACAGTCCCATCACATTTTTAATGTTTTTTTTGAATAAATTGTAGGGCAATCAGAATATCCATTGACTTGATTTTTTGGTGGTGACTTTAACCACACTAACAGTCAAATTTCTGAGTCATATAAGCATAACTTTGAGCATTTAAAAATCAATAAAACAAAGCTGCATATGATGGACAAATATGAGTTAAGCCCTATTTGAACTGCCAACAAATTGTGTCAGACCACAATATGAATTTACTGGAATAATGACAAAGGTAGCACACATGCGCTGCTGTTTAAAACAAGTTACAAAAGCGTATCTTTTCACTTAAAACATTAAAAAACAACATGGAAACCAATTAACATTTCACAGTGTACACTGTAAAAAAAAACTGCTATGATGTTACACGCTTCAAGCGGTTTGCCATGTTTGATGACCTCTTCTGAGCAAGCCTAGTTCATCAACCAGTGCACTCCAGGTTTCAGCTTCTCTAATCAGTTAACTGTCAGCGCATGCTGTCAAGTTCTGTATTTTGCTTTTTTTCATGCATCTTGCCCTGCTAGAATTTGAAAAATGTGTACTCATGATTCCCCTTATGATCAATAGCTCATTTAATTACTATGCCTGTGCATTTTTGCAAGCTTCTACTTGTTTTCTCTGGTTGTTATAAGACACACTGACTAAAATTAAAAAATATTCAACTTAGTTGACAGAAGAGTCTCTGACATATGATTTGACTTCCAACACTTATTAACATTATACCTGCAAAGATTAGCATGCCATTGTTATTTATAGACATATATACAGGTAGTCACCACATACCAGGCAACAGATATACATCTGTATACATCTATAAACTTAAAATGTTTGTGAGATACTGAAAATGCTATATTAATTTTCATCACGTGTCTGTATGGTTTATTGGGTGAAGTATCCTAAATGTAAAGCATATAAGCATTTGAGTAGAACGACTATGTAGTGGCTTTGTGAGTGGAAATGTAAACGCTAAAGAATTTAATTTATAGCTTTAGTTTGTCTTGTGATTACTTTAATAGTAATTTGCACAACAACCTCTCCATAGGCATATCCTGGCTACACTAACAGATTTTAGAAATAATCTGATAAAAAAAAATCATAACCACTTTTGAAAATATTGTGACAGTCTTTAATTTTACAGAACCATTTATTATGAATATATACTGACCAGTGATTTGTACTGGATAGAATGCATACACATGTGAGTGCATAGAGCCTCATGCATAAAGTTCTCATGAAGTCTTATGCTCTCCCTGCAACGGCTCTGACAACCACTGTATGTTAAGAGGTAATGCAACAAGCAGTAGTCAGGTGCTAAATGTGAATGCTCACAGACAGGCCTGCAAAAATTAAGACCACATTTTATTCAAACCTAAAGGATCAAAAATAGGAGTCTTTCAATATTTTGAAAGCCAAATTGTCCTTAAAAGATTGAACCTTTATTTGATGCCTTCCATTTCCGATATGGAAAGGACACAAGGAGAGGAAACCTAACAGAATTATCAGCACAGAACCATATTTGGGCTGATTTCCAGTCATGCAGTGCAGACAGACAAGCAGAAGTGTAAGGGCAGGCACAGATTCAAGTGACAGTCCCTCTCACAATCACCTTTTTTTTTTTTTATATTTCACACTTGCTATGATTTTATGTGGAGCTGGACTGCTGATTTGCTTTGTTTTCCTTTGAGTACCTTGCCCAGCAACATAAAGGACAATGATTGGGTTTGGTTAGGAACTGTTAGAGGTGGTGGGAACAGAAGCTGCATCTGTGAGGTGCGAAAATGGAATTAAAGAGGGACTACTGACTGTTGCGAGAACACGTCAAAGATGACTGGAGGCATCTGAGTGTAAACTTACATCCAGAGGTGCTCCATCAAGATGTGTTGACTGATAATCCAAAGATGAAGAGTGACCAAAACCAAAGAGTCAAACCAGAGAGAACAGCATGTCGTGCAGGAGGAATAATAATAACTTTTAAAAAGCAGAAAGCAAAGCAAAGCCAAGTGCTTGTATTAAAGCAAAGAAATGAGGGACTGGACACATGGAAAATCAGAGAGGTGGTCTGAATCAGAAGATGTCCATGAAGACTTCCATGGTGAAGAAATCAAAGATGTCACTGGGGCTGTAGGTGGGGGGGTGGAGGTGGGAAGATAGCGAGAGCTGTGTATAGGAGTTCTGCAGGGGGAATTGCAAAGGGACGAGAACAGCGAGTGAAGACAGGTGGGTTCAGGAGGAGTCGGGAACCAAGCAAGAGGAGGGAGGGAGAAGGGTGGGGTTTTGGAGCGAGACAGCGAGAGGTTATACCTGGGAGGAAACCACTTCGGTGTAGCTGCTTAGAGTGTCCTCAGAGAACTTAGCAAGCTGGGGCAAGAGAAAAGTCTAGTTAAAACAGAGGGCGGCCCTCGCTGCATTTCCTCCGTGTATATGTGCACACATGTGAATGTGTGTGTTAGGGGTTGACTCATTTAGTCACCATCAATATTTCTGAACTAATAGTGCCAATAGCCAGTAGTGGGAAATCCTCTCAAACCATGCATAGTAAAGTCTACAAGCATTTAGACACCAGCAACGTTTTGTTATTTTACATTTGTACAGAAACCCAAAGCATTTAAACACACAAAACACTGTAAAAACTACACTCGGTGACATCAGGTCAAGGTACTTAAGTGACGGCTTTCACCTTTAATTGGAGGGTGTTCACATCCATATTGACTGAACTGTGGTGGAGTGGCGGCCTGTGTAATTCACAGCCCCTAATTACAGAGCACTGCACTGGTTGGCATCACATTCAAAGACTAACCTTGGGCTACAATGAATGAAGACCGTTTGCAGACTGCTCACAAAGTGGCCTCTGAAGCCTCTGATTTTTTCTTAAGTCAAACTACCAGAATAAAGGAAATAACTACTTTGTATCAAACGGGGCTTCCACTTCAGAGTCTTGATCGATGTGGTTTTTATTTGCCAGTACCAGCAGGCAGTAACTTTATCTGTTATATAGTCTGTAGAACATATCCATATCACAAATCTTGATAAAATACTTGAAGTTTCACAGTGTTGTTCTGGGTTGAGAAACTAGAGAAACAACTACCCCAAAAGAAAAGCTCACTGTCTTGTTTTGTCACAATCCTATGCTGCATGTGTAGCCACTGAAAGGATACATTCCATGGCACATCACTTTCATGTACAAAGATCCGTTTTGTCATCATGGTTAGTACTACCCAGCCTGTACAACTCTTGTGTCATGTCCTCACTAGCTCTGAGAGATAACCTTGATAGCGCCATCAGGCTTGGACTACTAATATATAAAAGAAATTCTGCTTTATAAACCGAAGGGAACGTATTTGAAGGACATTACAGGTTTACTACTACTACAGGTTCACTAGGAGTGTAACAGTCAAAATAAAAAATCCCGTTTTGGTGTGTACCTCAGTTTTGAGGTCTGAGTTTGGTACGTTTTGGTACAGCAAAAAAAAAGACATACATGACAAAAGTAGTTTGTGTTTGTTTTAAAAGGCTAAGACCTGCCTGCTGGCTGAAATGCAGAACAAATTTTGAATGCAGCTTTTGTTCTTAACATGAATATGCTTACATATCCACTGCTATAAAATCGCCAGGACGATTATTATCACTTAGGCCCCTGAATCGTTTGCAGGAGGCCTCTTCGACATACAACCAGCTACAGGCCCGACTGCAGTTGAACAATGCTGCCACATAGCTTTCGTCTGATCCACCTGTCTTTGTCCATGTTATTGCAGTTAATTGAGAAACTGCAGTGTTCCTAAACAGCAGGCTTTAATGATAGTAAAGGCTAGTTGGTTTGCATTCACCATACCTATGAGGGGGGAAACATGGCATTTCAAACTGAATAAAGATACATTTCTACATGTACAGTAGCTGTATTCATTTGGTACGTATGTGTGCCAAACTGAATGGCCCATAACAAAAATTTTCATAGGATTTGCAGTGGTTCTAATAAAAGACGCATTATTTTCTATCAGGACATCTCAGTCGCAGCCGCGACCATATTTTAAAAAAAATAAATCTGTCTCTTGATGTTTGATTTATACTCCTGCATTAAATAAACACATAGGCTACGCTACAGCCTATGCTGTTGTGAGCCTTTATGCTGGTGCGCTGGTGTGTCACTCTACAATTACACTGCCATAGCACAAGTTAGGGGTGCCACTCAGTTGTAAATGTTGCAGACACGAGAGAAGATGTCAAAACTGACTGAGTCAACATGGATTGGTAGAGCAACGAAAATAAGAACATTGTACATCTACAGTGGCAGAATACTGGCATTTGAGTTTGCATTATCAGCATGTTATATGTAAGATTTTGTTATACATTATCTTTGGCACAAATTAATTTGCTGTGTAAACCCAGCATACCAGAATCAGGCATACTAATCATATTTGTACTTGTAGTTACATTTCTAAATGTAAATTATGTGAAAGTACGATCCATAGACTCTAGAACTCGCAAGATGGACAACATGACAGCTTCCCAGAAGTGAAGCAAAAATATCTCAGAAGTGGATGCTGCCTTCTTGTACTGGTGCTGCACAGTAGTGACCAGTCAGCAGAGACAGAGGTATCAAGGTCCTTCCTCCTGTCCAAGTCAACTGTGAGCAATATTGTAGCTTCATTTTTTTTTTTTCATTTTTCAATGAAAGAAAGCAATGAGATGTTGTCCATCTTTGATTTGCAGTCTTTGACATCCAGACATCAACAGATATTTGATGTCCTCCGTACTCTGTTATGCTCTACCAAAGTCTGTACTCTGTAGCGCTGCATCGCTTGAAAATTAAACATCCTTAAATTAAATACATGCTAAATCCAACCATGGTCAAAAAAGTCAAGTATGGTCTTAAACACTCCTTGATTGCCTCACCTACATAAAGCAAGTGTCAAAATCTTACCAATAATATAAACTGAGGCTGAAGTCCTTCATTTGTAGGACAGTTAAACAATAGAGGTCAATACCATGATGTTTTTATAACATTTATTAGATAATGGACAGATTAAAACTGTAAGTTCTTGTGAGTGTTATTGTATTTTGTAATATGAAATGTGTGCTTGCAAATACTGTGCATGCAACTATGTAGACTTACATATAACTGTATGAGCAGACACATATAGTGATATGTATACCGTGTATATGGTGTGTATCTATCCATCCATTATCTATACACCACTTTATCCTCTGTAGGGTTGCGGGAGGGCTGGAGCCTATCCTAGCTGACATTGGGGCGAAAGCAGAGGACACCCTGGATGGGGCACCGGTCCATTATATGGTGTGTATGTGTGAGCTATATAGTATTTCTGCGTTTGTATTGTGATTTTTGTGTCAACTCTTTCCAGCCTTGTGATTAAAGAAACACTAACAAACTAAATAAGAATCTCAAAATATGGATGTAAACACCCGTATTCAGTCCAATTTCTATCCTCATAGTTACAGTTTCAATACAAAAACCAGTGTGCTGGACTTGCACAGGTTCCCTGCATGAGGTCAGGCTTAGCACAGGTTTCGTCAGAATGGCTTATATCACCGACATGTGAAATACTGTTTGACTTAAGAATGTAATACAAACATGGCATCTCTGTTTAGTTAATGTTCATTCAGGTTAATACAGCCTCCTGTGGAAACCCCTTCCATACATTCTAATAACTGTACTACAGTTTTTAAACTCCTGAACATCCCCAACATACCACATTTAAGAATACTGACTAAAACATCAGTCTAATTTTACAGTATGTTTCTCTTATATCAGATAAAACATGAAACACAAAAACCTCTGTGTCAATAATTAAAACTGGTTCTTCTGCAAGTTCATGTCACATTTATGTGTGTGTTCCTGTATGTGCACAACTATCTTTGTAAAAACAACTTGAAGCTTTAGAACAGTGGAGTGAGTGCGTGTGCATGTGCGTGTCCCTCACCAGGCCAGCTGGTGACGCACGGCTGAACTCTGCGAGGACCCTGGCCTCTCCGAAGGCATTCACCAGCACCCACATGACAGGGAAGAGCAAGGGCAAGATGGGCAGAACACCCATCAGCTGCAAATGCAATTTTACACTTACATCTCTGTCAAGTCATCTCCTCTGTGCAACCCAGTATTACCAACATTAAACAGAAGAGAAGTTTGTGGTCTTCTCAGTGCATCCTAATTTAAAGGTTGCTGACTGTGTTGATACACATCACTAATGCAAACCAAGAAAATAAATGGCAAAGTACTGCACACACGATTGTGATTTTTAGCTCTAAACATACAGTTTTAAATGATTTTACCTGAAGTTGAAAGAAATTGTAGCAGACGGGTGTGAGGTTGGGGGCATCACAAAAATACCGGATGGTATTCACCAGCAGGAATGCCACCTAAAGGAGAGTAGCACAAATATGCGTAAGTGGCAAAACGGCAGGCATTGCATCTGTGATTCCAAATACACTGTAGAAACAATTTAGGAAGTCCACAGAAACTGCTCACCAGCACAACAGGACAGACTAGCTTGGTGATGACCGACTGCACTGTAAACCTCTCATTATCGAGCACTGTGATTGGCCGAGACAGTGCCAGCTCTAAACTGTTCCTGTAAAAAAATAAAATAAAAATCAATAAATAAACAAATAAATTTACAAAAATACATTTTATTATACCAAAGTTTGACAAGTTATCTTTTTTCTCTCCCTCCCAGAATGAGCTGATAACATCTAGGTGTTGCTTCAGACTACGTAAATACTAGAAAAAGAATGAAAGACTCATGTATACCTTATTTTCATGTTAAATATGTACCATGCAAACATTTCTTATTTGTATTGCAGGCAATAAGGCCTGGGGGGTGCGCAATAACAAAAAATATCACTTATTACACAAAAAGTTAACCATATGTATACACTCACAGAACCCTTTATTAGGAACATCTGTACCCCTGCTTGTTGTTACAATTATCCAATCATATGGCAGCAGTGCAATGCATAAATTCCTGCAGATAGAGGTTCAAAGCTTTGGTTAATGTTCACTTTAAACTTTAGAATGAGGAAAAATGTGATCTCAATAACTTTGGACAGCTAAAGAAGTAGAAATGGAGCACAGTATGATTCATTACCATTTCTGCTCAGACTGCAGATGACAGGCTCATAATGTGGCATCAATAGCATGAATCTATGGACCCAACCTGCTTTACGTCAAAAGTCCAGGGGCCTCATTTATCATCAGTGTGTACGCACAGATGTGTGCGTAATGAGTGTGTACAAACATTCCCACGCCAGTTATAGAATTTATCAACTTGTACTTATACTTAGGAATGTGCGTAACTATACACACAACTCTGACCATGCTTATGCACATAAACTAGCGGTAGAATAGTGAAACTACAAACAGAAAGCATTCAGGGATTTTGACCACCATTCCAGCGTGAGGTTGGAGACACATGCGGCATTTCCCAGCCGTCACTGAGCAGGATCATTCCAGTAGTGTTGGATGCCATAACTCCCCTGGCCCCAACCTACATCCAGTTCCCTTACAGCCGTCACCAAAGAGCCCAAATCAAACGGGGACTTCACACTATCGCTGCATTCCCAAACGTAAATGGAGCCATAGAATGCACCCACATTGCATTCAAAGCAGCATCACTGAACAAATTTAATTCTGTTAATAGAAAAGGGTTTCATTCAGTCAACGTACAAATAATTTGCGATGCACATTTGTCGCTATCAAATGTTGTTGTCCGGTGGCCTGGAGGAACGCATAACTCATTTATTGTGCAGAACAGCTCTGTGTGTGGGTCTCCAAGCAGGAGCTGTTGAAGATGGATGGCTCAGTGGTGAGTGTTACAAAGTGTGGAAATGTTTTAGCTGGACTTAGATTGGTTATTAAAACATGTCATCTGTAGGTGATCAGGGTTATCCACTGTGCGAACGTTGGGCGTAAATTTGTCCTCCGGTTGCAGTCATTTCTCTTTTATGAGCTGTGATGCGGTTTTTGGGGACTGAACCTAACATCAAACCACTTTTTAATTTTTTTTTTTTCCAAATTCCTGCCAGCAATTTCTCCTCTGACCCAACAGCAATAACTGCGGTGATTATCTTGTCCCATGCAGTCATTTTTTCCTTTTGTTGCCTATCCCAACATTTCATGCGCCGAACAATTGTTTCTGGTTAGCTTTAACCTTGCTGACAAGTACCTTCATTTCAGTTTCCAAAAATTTCCTCTTTATCGCCCCCTTTGCCATGATGATGAAAGCTGAGGGGGAAAAATATTTCCTTGTTTTATAAAGAGGCGTGTTGTTGACGTATATGGTCAATTGGAGGCGTTTCTGAAGGCAAATGATCCCGACAGTGCACGAGCATGGTGGTTAAGAACAAGTAGGATTTACCAACACTGATGACTTAATGATGTGTGTATGACCCACGTATGCATGTTTGATAAATGCTGATTTTTTTTTTTTGTACTTACACACACTCTAAATTTCATTCGTAAGACAGAATTTAGATCCTTTTCTAAACACTGATGATAAATGAGGCCCCAGGTTTCTGATGGTGTGATGGTCTAAAGAAAGTTTTCTTGGCACATTCTGTGCCCCTTAATGACGTCAGTCATGATTTCTATGCCATAGCGTGTTTGAAAATTGTTGTTGACAATGTCCATCCCTTTAATCGTCACAGTTCACCATCTTCTAATGGCTCATTACAGCAGCAGTTTGCACCATGTCACAAAAGAAAAGTCATCTCAAACTGATTTCATGAAACAGGCAATGAGTTCACCGGATTGTAGTGATATCCTCAGTTAACTGATCTAAATCCTGTAGGTCTTTGGGATGTGGCAACATGAACGTACAGCTGAAAAACCTGCAGAAATTATGTGATACAGTGTTGCAATGATGGAATGTTTCCAGCTTCTTGTGGACTACATGACACCAACAACTGAGGCTATTCAGTTAGCTAAAAGAGTTCCAACCCAATACTTGTATGGTGTTCCTAATATAGTGCTCACAGTGTTTACTTACACTCCAATACGCTAACAGGCTCCACTCTAACAATACAAAAAGGTACAGTATTGCTCAAACAATAAAAGTACAAAGACAATGTCAAATTATCAACAGTTTATAAAAAAAAAAAACTACATGACAAAACATATTTAAAAATGACCCAAAAGAATGAAAAAAATAAGTGTTAGACTGGGTATATAATCCACAAACAGTCATTTTTAAAACTCTGCATACACATACATTATATTTTAAATAAACAAATGTATATGATGGTTAAGGATACTGATAAAGGTCAGACATTTTGCTTAAAAAAAAAAGACTGACCAGGATCTAACATGACCAAGTCTCCTACCTGACAGTGTCTAGTATTGGAGTCCGGACCACTCTGAAGAGACGGTGTTGCTGAGGGCTCTGGGGTCCTCTCTTCTCATTGGCCCGTGGGGAAGGAGGAGGAGAAAATGGAGGGAATAAATCTCCTGGTTCCAACACGATGTGCTCGTCATCCTGAGGAGGGAAAAAGATAAAACACAGATAAGCAGTCCAGCAAATTTAGTATTTAGTACGGCCTATTCTGTACCAGATGATCAGAATTGGACACACACTACTGACAGCAGCAGCGCGTTGAGACGAGATGGTTTATGTTTGGTCGGAGGATCTGGGGTTCTTGCCTTACTGGTTATACCTCTGATGCTGTTTTAATTCGAGGTTGATTAAAACAAGTATGTGCTGTTAGGAACCCACTTAATGAGTGTACAGTGCACCAGACTACTGTCCTTTAACATTTAAGCTGACTCATCATGCAGATGTTACTTTCACATCTTACTTATTTAATTCTTGCGGTGGCATTGCTTTTTAACTTCAGAAGCCTGAGTAAAAGGCAAAAGTAATGCACCATGCCCATGTTTCTGTCAATTAGTTTTTATACCCTTTAGCTCTAAGCAACAACATGATAAAGTAAACTAAATATATGTATTTGATGACGACACTGTCAGCTTAAGCTGCATCTGGCTATACGTGAATAATTATGGGGGTATTATTGTAGGAAAGCTATTTGTAAATGTGTATGGTGAGTGGTGTGTCTGTATCTTAATCTGTGTGTCCATAGTGACATTTGTAAATGTGTAGAAGAATTTGGAAATGGGTACTGAGATTTGTCAATGCAAACTGGAATCTGCAAAGGCTGCGTACCGCTCTGCTGCTATGGTATAGTCACAGTGGGCACCTTCTCCTCTTAGAAGACAGAGGGAAGAAAGCTAACCACTAGCAGCAAATAGCCCCGTGCAACCGTGTCAATAATTGTTTAATACTATGCACTTTAACTTTATATTTCTATATCATTATCATATTGCAACATTGCGTTAAAAAAGGCAAATGTTGTTTACCCATTGGTTATTTGTAGATCCAAATGCCTGTCTCATTGTTAGTAGCCATCCTCTATTACCCAGAAGAAAACTTCCTCAACTAATAAGACCAGCTCTATGTTTCATGCCTGTACTTCTAGATTTGACTGCCAAATTATGAGACTTACTATCTGTTACCCTTAAAGAGAATGTTCTGCCCCAGTGTCGTGTGTCCTCAAAGACACTGGGGCATAGCGCCGCCTGATGGCTTGCAAACTGCATAACTCTTGAGGTACAGAGCGGTATGCAGCCTGTGAGCCTGAGCTCAGGACACAGAAACCCTGAAGTTAGAGATCCAGATCTGTTATGGCAGAAGTGCAGCAAAAGTCACGTATAACAAGACAGCCAGGTGTGAGGCCCGTTGGACTTGTAACTGGTGATTTGTCTGTATTTCCAGCACTTGGAGCAAAGTACTTAAGACTTTTCATCTATTTGTATGCATTTATAGATGAACGTCTCACTGTTTTTAAACAAAACTGTATTCTGTCTGATCATTTTTAAATAACATTTGAATTTACAAGAATGGATTAAGAAACAATAAAAGAAATCAAGAAAAAAAATGTGGTAGTCAATAACAATTGCTTTTTTAGATCAAGCAGAGGGAAAAAATTATGGAATCACAATTTCTTAAAGCCAGAAAGTTGACTTTTGTTTTGTGGCATGATCTGCTTTTTTTTTCTACAAAATTAAACAACTGAATGAACATCCTCCAAGACTGGTGATTCCATAATTTTTGCCAGGCGTTGAAGAATGGGAGGCAGAGCCTTCAGTTATCAGGGGGTTTGGTTCCTTCCCACCATTGCTGACTGCTTACTCATAGGAAATTCAAAGGCAACTTTGGATTGTTGGGTTCTCTGTTCTTTGTTTAAATTTTGTGAGGTCTTCACCTTATTATGGGAAGTGCTATGAGATGACATATGTTGTGATGTGAATGGGTGCCATATTAAAAAAGTTAAATTGAATTGAATACTGTACCCCCTTTAGCAAATCCAAATATCATTATTTAAACAATTTCTACAGTTATGAACTTGTTAAAGCCTTCTTTGAAAAGGACTACCTTAACTGCATGGTCATTCTGGAGGCTGTTGTTGGGTGGTGCTGTTGAATTGTACGACATGATACAGATGGGTGTTCTGGGTGGGTCTGATATTTAAAGTCACTGGTACCATCACTCCAAATAATAGAAACAGCAGACAGCTAAACCAATCGACAGGAGTGCAGATTTTAAAATGACCATAGAGTTGGATAAACACTTCTATATTAAGACAGTTACAACTAAAACTGAACATCACAACTTTCATGGAGAAAGGGCGTTTTTGCAGAACTTGTATTAGACCAAGCTATTAGGGCAAGCTCAGTGTATATAATAATCTGCCAAATAAGTGTGCATGCTAGAAGGACCAAGAATGGCAAGTTTTCTGTGACTGTGTGCACATCTTTGGACCAATAACTAAATATTATCCGTCTGTGCCAATACCAGTTCTGGAATTTGGTACATTGACATCTAACACAAATTAGTATCTTAGTCAAATAACTATGTTTTTTTCTTATATATTTCTTAGATAATAACTTCCCAAAAAATATTATTACAGTGCATCATACAGTGTTCCAGCTACACACCGACTCACCTTAATGCCTCTTAGTGATGCAAATGCCTCTTGGCCAGGTCTCAGAGCAATGATGTCTCCTTCCACCAGCAGGCTAACAGGCAGGTTAACCAACTGAGAGTCACGATAGGTCCAATGAAGGGACCATGAAGGGGACGAGGGTGTGTACAGGTCAGGGTAAAGAGATGGAGGCCACCGCACTTCACCCATACAGCCTGACAGGTAATCTGGGATGATGCACAAAGAAAGTGGATATGCAGTTAGAAAATGGGGCCGGGGAGAATGACTAACAAAAAAAAAGATATTCTTCAGAGCTTGTCAGCAAGGAACACGTTTTGAACTTTTAGGAGAAATTCTGGACCCCATCATTGAACTGATCAATGCTAGACACAGTATAACAATACTACTTTTTCCACAGTGAGAATGAAAAGTTTGAACAGCACTCTGGCAGCTGGTGGATAAAGTTGGCATAGCACAGTCTCACTGATGTCAGCAAAAAAATGCTTTGATCAGCCCTATTACCACTTGAGACTTTCCTTGCGATGACATTGAATTTTACAAGCAATATTGTACACCACATACAATATACACTGAACAAAAATATAAATGCAACACTTTTGTTTTTGCTCCCATTTTCCATGAGCTGAACTCAAAGATCTGAGACTTTTTCTATGGACACAAAAAGCCTATTTCTTTCAAATAGTGTTCACAAATTTAGTCTAAATCAGTGTTAGTGAGCACTTCTCCTTTGTCAAGATAATCCATCCACCTCACAGGTGTGGCATATCAAGATGCTGATTCGACAGCAGGATTATTGCACAGGTGTGCCGTAGGCTGGCCACAATAAAAGGCCACTGGAAATGTGCAGTTCTATTACACAGCACAATGTCACAGATGTCACAAGTTTTGAGGAAGTGTGCAATTGGCATGCTGACTGCAGGAATGTCCACCAGAGCTGCTGCCCGTGAACTGAATGTTTTTTTTTCTCTACTATAAGCTGTATCCAAAGGCGTTTCAGGGAATTTGGCAGTATATCCAACCAGCCTCACAACCACAGACCATGTGTAACCACACCAGCCCAGGACCTCCACATCCAGCATCTTTACCTCCAAGATCCTCTGAGACGATCCACCTGGACAGCTGCTGCACCAATCGGTTTGCATAGCCAAAGAATTTCTGCACTAACTATCACAAACCGTCTCAGGGAAGCTCATCGTCATCCTCATCAGAGTCTTGACCTGACTGCAGTTTGTCATCGTCACCAACTTGAGTGGACAAACACTCACATTCAATGGCGTCTGGCACTTTGGAGAGGTTTTACCTTCACGGATGAATCCTGTTTTCATTGTACAGGGCAGATGGCAGACAGCATGTATGGCACTGTGTGGGTGATCAGTTTGCTGATGTCAACATTGTGAATCAAGTGGTCCATGGCGGCGGTGGGGTTATGGTGTGGGCAGGCGTATGTTATGTACAACAAACACAGGTGCATTTTACAGATGGCATTTTGAATGCACAAAGATACCGTGACAAGATCCCAAGGCCCATTGTTGTGCCATTCCTCCACGACCATCACCTCATGTTGCAGCATGATAATGCACAGCCCCATGTTGCAAGGATCTGTACACAACTCCTAGACTCTCAAAACATCCCAGTTTTTGCATGGCCAGCATACGCACCGGACATGACAACGACTGAGCATTTTTGGGATGCTCTGGATCGGCATATATGACAGCATGTTTCAGTTCCTGCCAATATCCAGCAACTTGGCACAGCCATTGACAAATGGTGGTCACACCAGATACTGACTAGTTTTTTAAAATTAATCGGCCCATTAATCGGTTATCAGAGCTTTTTTTTTTTTTTTTTTGAAATATCTCAGAATCGGCATCGGCCTCAAAAAGTCCACATTGGTCAGGCCCTAATTAGAACCGTCACCTCACAGCTAGAAGATGCCGGGTTCGTCCTGGTTACGACGGCTGGGAAAATTCTGTGTGGAGTCTCCATGTTCTCTCTGTGCAGCGTGGGCTCTCTCCGGGTTCTCCCATATTCCTCCCACAGTCCAAAAACATGCTGAGGTTAATTGGTGATTCTAAATTGTCCGTAGGTGTAAATGTGAGTGTGCTTGGCTGTCTGTCTCTAAGTGTAGCCCTGCGATAGACTGGTTACCTGTCCAGTTGAACCCGCCTTCACCCTGAATCCTGCTGGGATAGATTCCCCCTCCCAAGATCCAAGTGAGGATTAAGGTGTATAGATAATGGATGGATGGATGTTGGGATATTTCTATTTTGTTGTTGTTTGGTCATAAAGTAGTGAGAATAATTAGCAGTTAAAAAAGGATTGAAAAGTAGCACCTGAAATCAAAATCAAACAATCAGTGATGCCAGTAAGAATACCTGGGACATGACCTTGGCCATGTTAAATGTTTGTTAACCAACCGCTTTTTGTTTTAGTGAACTGTGGACCCAGGACGCAAAATTTGTGTACTTTTATGAAGGCTAAAAAAACAGACAATAATCTATGTCCTGTGGATGTTGCCAAAAATAACGTACAACACGTACAAATTTCATAACTGTTCTGCATTTCCAGTGGTGAGTGGAAAAAGCTGGACTCACCACTGAGTTGTGTGATGATGCCTTTGAGGCGTCGCACCATCTCGCTTTTCTTCAGCCTTTCCTGACGTCCAACCAGCAGCAGGTTCAGCAGGAAGAGGAGAAGGAGAGCTGCAGCGTTCATCAGCTCTATACCAGAGCTGTGGAGTTGAAAAAAAAGAGTAACAACAAATCAAGGTAAAAAAAAACAAAACAAAACAAAAAAACACCTCAATCAGTCTACTGCTAGGGACGTTAATGATTAATTAATAATTGATACATTGCAGTTTATAATTTAACCATTTAACCGGTAAGGCAGAAGAAGAGACATGTATGTCACGCCAGTGGAGACATTTAGAACATTTTATAGGTATTAACTTTATTTGTTCTTCAAATTTGTAATGCAACTGATCTGATTTTGCAGTAGGAACATTAAATGTCTGTGATTAGAAGCAATTTTATCAGCTTATGGAATAATACCCATTCATTTTAACAATGAATTGATTATTGGTTGCCAATGTGGCCAACGATCAGTTAAGGAAACCATTTAAAATTTGCATCTAGTTATTATACATATGTAACACCTGTACACGAAAGAAAATGGCACAGGCAAGTGTAAAAATCCTGGCATACAGCAAAGCAACAATAACTGGGTGTTTATATAGCTCAGAATCCTTGATTTCTCTCCTCAGTTTTTATATGCTGATGATTGTTTATCATAAGAATAATCAGGTCGAGAAAAGTTGACAGAAACACCTTTTTAGCTTGTTCTTTCAATATTTTACATCAGAATGTGATGTTTTTTGTTTTTCTTTTACATATGCCCTGTTTAGACTAGTTTCCCCAAATGTTTCACATTAAACTGGATAATGTAGCTTTAGACATAATAGCAGTGGTGGTAAAATTGTCTCTAAGCATAGGAAACATGATCGTACAACATATTTTTTTTTAAAAAAAAGACAAGTTTTAAAGAAGATTTGAAACACTGCTATTGATGCTGCATGAACAGTATCACCCACATTCCAGTACAGGTTGCTATAAACAGGTCACCTACCTGCCCTTTGGCTGGCTGCCATGGCAACAGAAGAGTCCCAGCACCACCAGTAGGGTGAGGGCAGCTCCCGGCCAATGGAGACAGGAGTGACGGTTGCCATGGTATAGGAAGCTACTCACCCACTGTTCCTATGGATACAAATCAAAACAACAAAAAGTAAGCCCAACAACTGCAATGCGTTATGGAGAGCAGTAAACATGTGACAGACTTATTGAAGAAATGAGGCAATGATGATGTCGGATATGATTAAGGCCATGTTAAACAGTATCTTTGTGTGTGTGTGTGTGTGTGTATGTGTGTGTGCATCTTGTGTTGCTACACATCTTCATAAGGTTGTAATGATGACAAAACTTACACTCCCCACTTTACTGACTCCGGTTTAGAACACGGGTTTAGGGTTAGGTATATAACAAATATGACTTTCAGGTCGGGGTGAAGGTTTAAGGATAATACCCGGTAGTTTCAACATGGTGTTTTTCCCATTAATATGAATATTGTGGTTTAAGGACTTTCCAAAATAAAGCATGTGAACAGCATATACCTGCAAAAAGCGCAAGGTTTCAAAAAAAAATAAAATAAAATTGCTTTTACACAATTCTTTTTAAATGTGTATATTTTCGGTCTGATTGACAGTAAACACACATTTCTGTAACTGCATGAAGGATCTCCATTCGGCTGATAGATGCTGTTCATCAATTTTAGATGTCAAAAGGGTTCCTGGTGTTTTCTTTTCCGTGGGAAACAGGTCGAAATGGCTCTTTGAGTGTTGAAGGTTGCCGACCTCTAGTCTATACCTTACTATGTTAAGCGCTGTGAGATGACATATGTTGTAAACTGCGCTATATAAGTAAACCTGAACTGAATTTGAACTGAATTTCCCACCTCTATAACAGAGGTTGGAATTTAAATGTAAGTAAAACAGGAGAACATGCTATAGAACTGTGTTCCTGTAAATCTACAAACCTTAACTGTACAGTTATGTGTGAGCAAGAGCTGTCAGAATGATTCCAGAACAGCTAGCCAAGAGGACATTCCTGATGATAGTGATGACAGTAATGCTGATTATTCAGCTTAGATATAAAGAAATTGACACAGTAAGAGAATATAAATTGGATATCTCTTTTGTTTTTGACTGACCAATTGACATTGTAGGGAAAAGTAAATGAACTGTAGCCCCCGATGAAAATTAGCTGTAACGTGTAATAATATTTGATAGGACTAAATAGAAATATTTATGATATATTGTCTGGATAAATATATTTTTGTAATTGATATTTGAAATCATTCCCATTGAAACGATTTTGTCAGTCTTATATTGTGGACAGTCAAATATGCAGTTTGAGCTGTTGTCTTGTATTGATATCTAAAATAATGCCCATTCAGACTATTTCATCAGTAATATTTTGTACAGAGGGCAAGGTAGCTCGAGCTACTGCCAGATTTTTGGTATTGATTATTATGTTGCTTATTAACTTTGTTTATATTTTTATACAATGGACCCAAGAGTCTGAATTTTAATAATTAAAGAATGTTTGGAATTTATTTGGAGCAATTTGTTGTTCATTTTTGTTTATAAAATGTAATCCAAAATGTTTCATGTGAAGAATTAGGTCCCCTTGTGTGCTTGTTTCAAGAACAGAGTTTTTTTTTTTAAATCATGACTTTTTAAAAATAATTTTTCTTCACAACCAGCACTCCTATTCACTTAATATTCCACATATTGAATATTTGTGGGATTGTCTATGCAAGTGTCAAGTTTGAAGTGTATGGCTTTATTACTGTCCGAGATAATTGGCGTGAAAAATGCTATTAGAGGCTAAAATGTCCAATTTTTCATGAATTTTCCAACTTTGGAAGATGATTACTCAGTAACTGCAGGCAGCCTGCTTGTGGAACTTCTTGTGGAAGAAGGTCAACTATTTTACTTGATAAAAACCACAGTATTTCTCACGATGATGGAATGGAAGCCAGTTTGTAGGCACTTTCTGAGAGCTAGCCTATGGCCTAAAGCTATAGACACAACAGCCACATTAAAGGGAGATACATAATGGGAAATTATCCTTCAAAGCTTAGGCAATAGTTCTAAACTTAAGACCACTAATATAAAATTGTACGTGTAGATGCATGTGCATACTGGCACTGAGGCTCGTCTGCGTGCAGTCCTCTGGTGCTGCTCCAGCAGGCTGCTGAGCTGATCCCGTAGTTTCACCAGAGCCTGGCCAGTGGAAAGGCCCAGAGTCACAGCATTCTCCTCCTGTGACAACACATACAACAACCATGTCATAATCTGATCGACTCTTAACCCTTAAAGATAGATGGCTTAACAGTTTGTAGTTTAGCAGACATTTGTATGATTTACAATTATCATTTCCACATAATTTGAACACTGTTCTACAACGGAGACCCATTAACACAAACCATCTTTTCACAACTGAAAGCTGTATCTGTGTAGACTTTTTCACAAAAGGCATTTCTGCATAGCAAAGGAAGAAGGGCACAGGTGATTAACAATGACTACAACTGATCACAATGCATGTCCTTTAGTTCAGTTGTCCATGGGCTTATTGTTGGCATTAAGTTAAGCATGTTTTCTGCTGATGTTCAGGCTTTTCCAAGGTTGTCTTTTGTCACTGAAATTGTCTGTGGTTTCATAAACAGGATCTTAGGTCTCAATCAAGGAGGTAAGTGTCTAGTCTGGTGATCTCAGAGGTGCGCTTTTGCTCTTTGCAGATGTTCTCTCAGCTACACCACACCACGTCCTCCAAACACACTGAACCACATTGGTTGATGCCACATTGACTGATTTATATCTAATGATGTGAAACAAAGTGGTGCGAAGTTGAAAAGTGGAAGAAGTCAACAACGTCTTATGAACACATTAAACTGTAATCTTGGTAACATCAGCAACATCCCCCATGATACAAACAACACATTTGTTATCGTGTAGTACTGATGACATAGATATGTGAGGATGTATTTGCACTGGCAGCGATGAATGTTGATGTCATCCAATCAACTGTTGTGTTACTGGGTGGTGGACTGTGTGCAAAAAGTCAACTGACTAATGTGATTGGGGAGATGGATGCCGTGCACTGAGCATTCTGAACCCTAGTGCAACACGAAATTAGAGAGCAATACTGTGTGGAGACAATTCTTTAAGTTTACAGAGCTCATCTCATCTGAGGCCTTGAACTAGCAACACAATGACAGTAATCAGAGTTTTCTTATTTTCTGTGAAAAATGGAAAAAACAAGATAGAGATTGCTGATAGGACGTGTGGCCAGAAAGATATCGTAGAATCATGAAGTCACTTATATTGTTACTGCAAAGAACTCTTAAATAGGAGGCATACTTTTCAGTGTAAATCACCAAAAATAATGAAAACAAGTAAAGGCAGCTAACAGTGACACTCTGAAGCTGGAGCCTGTCAATGTTTGCCCCTTTTGCCTTCATAGATTACCTATGAACTACTGAAAAATTATCAATGCTGATGTTGATTCAGGTGGCGCAGTTGGTAGCACTGTTGCCTTGCAGCAAGAAGGTTGCTGGTTCGC